TCCCACATCGGTTGTGCACCGAAGTTTCTAGCGAATATAAAGTAATATTAGATTCGCGATCAAGCGCGCGTGTACGACCACTCTTTGCCCCACAGCCGGCTGGCCACCGGTGATGTGGAAGGGGAGTGGCGCACACGTGCCCACATCATCGGTTCAAGCCGTTAGAGCCCCTGCTCGCAACTACTCCCCGACTGCGCTTCCGACCCGTTTGCAGGCCCGGCTGGCTGGCGGGTCCTCCCATTTTGTAATATTTTTAGTTTTGTTTCTTTTTCTTCATTTATCTCAAAGGTAAGACTGTAAAAATCATATAAATTTGTATAAAATCACATAATTACTCAAAAAATCACATTAATGAACTGAAAACCATTTTCACAATTTAACACAAATATAAGTCTATTTATCATGAGTTAAGGTTAAAACTATATTATTTACTAATTATTAACTCATGATAATGAAGACTTATCAGTTATCAAGTAAAAAGAAGTCAATTTTGATGATAAGTGACAGTTAAAAGTGTGTCAAACTATAAATAATGTGTAACATACATCTCAATGAGTAATGTGTGAGTGATATCAAGTAAATGACGATGTTTACATTCTGCAACTCTATTCTATTGGAGAGTGTATAAGTAGTTTGATGAATAATATCACGATCAAAACAAAAGATATGAATGACATATTGAACAAGCTCAAGTATACTATTTATGTGAAGAACCTTGGGTATGGTAGAATATTGGGTAACAATTTCAATGATAAATTAGGTAACAATAGAGAGAACTTGAGATTAATCACGAAAGAGATAAACCCAACTCACACCATTATAATCATCAACGAAAATGACATAATAGAGATGTCCAATGACTAAGGCAACTTAAGAGGGTCTCCAAATATCACAATAAATAAGATTAAATTAAGTTGAGGATGGAATATTATCACAACTAGAAGAAGAGGAATGATGATATTTACTCAGTTGACATGACTCACACATAAATTTATTAAGAGAGAACCACGGTAAGATTTTCTCAAGTTTTAAAAAATAGGATGATCTAAACAGTGATGCCACAAAAGAGTAGTAGTAGAAATAACAAAAAATACTCAAATATTAGAGGAAGGTACATTCAAGACTAGATTGTAAACAACCTGACCGTTCTCACACCCCAAACCAATCCTTTGTCTAGTTTACAGATCTTGAAAGACATAGTGGAAAGGAAAAAATATAATAGTACAAAGTGAGGCACGAGTGATAGCACTAATAGATAAAAAGTTTATAGGAAAATCGAGAACGTAGAGGACTTGGGACAACAGTAAACTAGAGGTCACAGTAGTGGTGCCATGACCTTTGACCGAACAATTCCAACCATTGACAAATGTCACCGAGAGACAGGTCATGGTGTGATGAAGTGTGGAAAGTATGGAGGGTGTACCGGTTATATGAGTGGAAGCCACTGAGTCAAAAATCCAAGATGATGAAGAGGCAGGTAAAGTAGGCAATGTACTTGACATTGAGGCTCCCAACATAGACGCAAAGCTAACAGAGGAAGGCAAATAAGAGGGAACAATTGTGGACCGCTTTCAAGCTTTAGATTATGCTAGCATGAAAGTCATATGAATAGTAGGAGGAGATGCCATGAAGTGAACCATGGATAAGGTCAATGTAAGAGACTCTGAATGAGTGCCAGAAATAACAATTTGAGCCCACTCAAACTTGTCGAACACCTTCCAATACTTCTTTGACGGGTGGCTCAACTTACCACAATAAGGGTACAGTGGAAAAGTATTGCAGACTTTGCCTTTAAGAGTACGACCACCATCCCAATCACAAGGAGTAGATGCAGCCAAAATTGATGAAGTCAATGTGACAATTGATTGAGTGGTGCTTGATTGAGTGGTCGAAATGCTTGTGCTCACATGAAATGTTACAGAAAAAATCGATGGAAGATTTGGCACACGATTACCTAAAAACATTTGGCCACGAATATGTGAGGCAATGTCTAGATGTAGACCAGTAAAATATATACCAATGTAAAACTTTTCGTGATACCACTCAAAGATCTTAAGGTCGGTGGTCGAAGACTAGTAAAAAGATAACTCCTTGATGATTGCGTAAAGTGATCTAAGTGTGTCTGAAGTGAAAGATCATCTTGTTTAGAGGTGAGAAGAGATTTGAATAATTACACGATACGATTAACGATAAGTCTTCATTATTATGAATTAATAATTAGTAAATAATATAGTTTTAGCCTTAATTCATGATAAATAGACTTATATTTGTGTTAAAGTGTGAAAAGTGGTTTTCAGTTGATTAACGTGAATTTTTGGGTAATTATGTGATTTTATATGAATTTATATGATTTTTACAGTCTTATTTTTGAGATAAATGAAGAAAAAGAAATAAAAATAAAAATAAGACAAAATGAGGGGGACCTGCCGGCCAGCCAGGCCCGCAAGCGGGTCGGAAGTGCAGTCAAGGAGTAGCTGCGAGCAGGGGCTCAAGCGGCTTAGACCAATAGAGGCACGTGTGCACCACTCCCCTTCCACATCACCGGTGGCCAGTCAACTGTGGGGCAAGGAGTGGTCGTACACACGCGAAAAAAAGACTTGATTAGGAATCTAATATTACTTTATATTTGCCAGAAATTTCGGCGCACAACTGATGTGGGACTAAACTCGCGTCACCTTCTCCAGAAAGGGCAGGCAACTGGCGCGGGTTCGAATCCTCTCAAAGCTAAAACTCAATTTTTTTTTATCTAATTATCGTGACTTTCCTGCAAATCACTGGTGAAGGATTAAGCAACCAGAATCGCTAGATCATTGGCGAAAATCTCGTCAACGCGATTCGCGGAACATTGTTACTAAAATTGCTGAATGATTCGCGATAAAAGGATCACGAATCCATCGAGTAAAGCATCTCCGATTGATCGACGAACAAGTCATCGTCAGGAAGAAGATGATCCACCGAGAGACGAGTTGCCACCTCTTGAGAACGTACCAGATGCGATGAAGAGCCTCCTTGATAAGTCTTCATTATCATGAGTTAATAATTAGTAAATAATATAGTTTTAGCCTTAACTCATGATAAATAGATTTATATTTGTGTTAAAGCATGAAAAGTGGTTTTCAGTTGATTAACGTGAATTTTTGGGTAATTATGTGATTTTATACGATTTTTACAGTCTTAGTTTTGAGATAAATGAAGAACAAGAAATAAAAATAAAAATATTGCAAAATGGGGGGACCCGCCGGCCAGCCGGGCCCGCAAGCGGTTCGGAAGCGCAGTCGGGGAGTAGCCGCGAGCAGGGGCTCGAGCGGCTTACTTGGATCGATAGGGGCACGTGTGCGCCACTCCCCTTCCACGTCACTGGTGGCCAGCCGGCTGTGGGGCAAGGAGTGGTCGTACACGCGAGAGGACTTTGCCTAGAAAGCTAACTTTACTATATATTCGCCCGAATAATCTGCGCACAACCGATGTGGGACTAAACCCGCGTCACACCTTGCTCAGGGGCGGGCGACCGCCGCGGGTTCGAATCCTCCCAGAGTCAAAATTCATATATTTTTAACTGATTATCACGACTTTCCTGCAGATCGCCGGTGAAGGATTAAGCAACCGGAATCGCTGGATCATCAGCGAAAATCTCGTCAACGCGATTCGCGGAGCATTGCTACTAAAATTACTGAACGATTCGCGATAAAAGGATCGCAATCCATCGAGTAAATGATCTCCGATTGATCGACGAACAAGCCGTCGTCGGGAAGAGGACGATCTGCCAGGAGACGAGTCGCCACCTCCTGAGAGCGTACCAGATGCGATGAAGAGCCTCCCCTTGCTGCGCGGACCTGAGGATGAAGCTCCCTGACACGCGCCCCACCTCCATTCAGCTCCTCTCCGTCGGGTGACAGCCGCCGGAGAGCTGCAAAGTCGCCGTTTTTCCGCTCCGCCGGGTGACAGCCGCCGGAGACGACTCGACGACTCACTTCATTGATCTCTAGACTTCGCGAGAAGATCTAGAGATTGCCCACGTCGTCTTTGTCCAAGGAGAGCCTTCGAGGCCGTGGACACTGCACGACGATCCTCCCGAACGCTCAGGATTCTGGTGCATCGCCGACGCATCGCCGTCGCGACGCCGGAACTCTGGTTTCTTGCTTTCAATTTAATTTACGCTTTATTTAGTGATACTTTGTGTGATTTTAATTTACCAAACTATACTTCGTTCAATTACGATTCTTCCGGCTTTTACAGATCTTAATTTGATTAATTAAATCGTCTGTAATCGCTTACGTAAGAATCGCCGGGCGGAACTCTGTTTCCGCCCGATTCGCGTTCGCCGGGTGCTGACGTCATCCTGTCGTCCGCACCCTTATTTCCTCTTTTTTTCGTGAATTTTAAATATATTTCCTTTTCATTTCCTAGTATAAAATTCATAGAAAATCGTATTCATTGAGAAAAACTCTGAATAATTACAAAATATTATATTACATCCCTGTGATCGACCTGGGAAATTATCGCTATTTTTGGAACTTTTATTGAATTATAATTGATATATTTATTTATAAATACTTCTAAATATCCAGAAATTCGTATTTTCTAGTTTTATAAATTTTAGATTTGCGTGATTTAATATACAACGACTGAGTCACGTCAAATTTTGGCGCCGTTGCCGGGGATGTATTGCATAATATTTAGTATTTTTCTATTTTTCTCTTAGAGTACACAAAAAAAAAAAAAAAAAATAACTTAACTCTTGTTTTATTTTCTTTTTGCCGATTTTTATTAGAAATGGGAACGAAAAGAAGCACGGCAAGGACTGGAGCATCCTGAAGGAGGGTAACAGTTACTAACTTTTTCCCTCGAATTTATTGATTTTTATGCATGGTAGAAGATCCTTGCATCCAAGGCTAGAAAATCCTTTCATTATTTCATTCAAAAAGAAAAATCCGAAAGAAAAATTAATTTTGATGGATCCTGAAGGAAGTATAGGTCAAACTGAGAACAATCCTATGGCCATGAAAAATCATTATATCCCTGATTCATTTCAAAGAGCATCCAATATTAGAGTCCCATTAGCACCCACTGTTAAATTCGAAATAAATCTAGGAATTTTTCAAATGCTCCCTAATTTTCATGGATTGCCTTTAGAGGAACCTCATCAGCACTTGGAAAAATTTCATATGGTCTGTGATTTAGTTAATCTCCCTCAAGTTACACCGGAAATTATTAAGATGAAATTATTCCCTCATACACTTAGGGACAAAGCTAGTCATTGGCTATCCACATTAGATAGAGAATTAACTAGCTGGAAAGATATAGAACAGGCCTTTCTTCGAAAATTTTATCCCTTAGGAAAAACTCAAAATATGAGAAAACATATATGGAGTTTTTCTCAAAGACCAGGAGAAACTTTGCATGAGACATGGGAAAAATTTAAAGATTTACTTAGAAAGTGTCCTCATCATGCTATACCCAAGTGGCAGCTCAATAGAATTTTTTATGACGGATTATTAGAACAACATAGAAATATGGTTGATTCTATATGTGGAGGAGCTTTTATGGAGAAAACTCCTGATGAGATTTACAGTCTTTATGAGAATTTAAGTGAAAATTCTAGAGATCAAGCCTCTTTTGAATTATATGACAGGGATAAGAAGAGAGGAATTTATGAATTGCATCATGATGATGATTCTAAACTTAGAAATGAGGTTAATCAGATTAATCAAAGATTAGAAAAAATTGATTTACTTATTGACAATATTAGAAAGCCTTTTAACCCTCAACTTAATTCGAATAGTACATGTCCTATGTATGGTGAAAACGATTATTCTGAATTTCAATGTTATAATTTAGATCAATCATTTCACCCTATGCAAGAACAAGTGCAAGTAGCTCACGGTTTTAATAGAAACAGGGAACCTTTTTCAAATTCTTATAATCCTAATTGGAGGAATAGTTTTTCATGGAGAGACCCAAATAATATTCAAAATCCAGAAGCACTTAGACCCAATTCAAACTCTGAATTTTGTCCAAAACAAGAAAACAGATTTCAGAAAAATCAGTCCTCTCAAATCCAACCTGATGCTATGGAAATGATGCAGCAAATGAGCCAAATGATGCAACAAACTATGAACCAAATGATGCTGCACCAGAAACAAATTATAGAGGCTCTTGGGAATAAGAGAGAAGAGGGACAGCTACCTAGTCAGCCCATAGAAAATCCAGGGAACCACCCAACAATAGGATTTCAGCAAGGGGAGTCTAGTAGCATGAATCTAGGAAAAAACCCACGAAATGAAAATGTTAGGACAGTGAATGCATTAAGGAGTGGTAAGATCTTAGCTGATCCTTATCCCCAAACATTAGAAGAAAAAGAAAACGTGGACAACCCAAAACAAAATCAAATAGGAGTAGAAGAGGATTTTATAGATTCTACCAAGGAAATTTCGAAAGAGAGGACAACCATTCCATTTCCTAAAGCTCTAGAACCTAGACAAAGAAAGAAAAAGGAACACAATGAAGAAATAAAGAAAATTTTACAAGATGTGCAAATTAGTCTTCCTTTACTTACTGCCATTGAACATATTCCTGAATATGCTAGAGTTTTGAAAGAAATGTGTACACCAAAAAGGGCACCTAGAGTAGAAAAATTATCTATGCATGCTAGTGCATTATTATTAAATCAATTACCATATAAATTGAGAGATACAGGTGCCCCTTTGATTTCGTGTGATATTGGTGGATTCATTTTTCAGAATGCATTACTTGACACCGGTGCTAGCATTAATTTATTACCTGCAAGTATTTGTGATAAATTTAATATTTCTGATCTTAAACCTTCTACTGTTACCTTAAAATTTGCTGATAGATCCATAAAACATCCTAAAGGTATTTTAGAAAATGTGATAGTGACAGTTAAAGGGTGTAAATTTCCAGCTGATTTCGTAGTACTGGAAATGGATTTTAATGGACAGTTTTATGATACACCAATCATCTTAGGGAGACCATTTTTGCACACAGCAAAGATGAATATTGATTTTCCCACAGGTATTGCGAAAATTTCATGTGAAGATCAATCAGTAGAAATTAAAATTTTTGAGATATCAAATGATATTAAGAAATCCCAAGTATATGATTGTCATACCATAGATCTTCTAGATGATTTTGATGATCCAGATGTTATTGATGACTGTGTGCTGAAAGAATTAGAGGAAATAGAGAATATAAATTTAGAAGAAAAGAAAGAGGAAGATCATCTGAATTTAGAGTTGAAACCTCTTCCCTCTAGTTTAAAATATATGTTTTTGGAGGAAAATAATTCATTTCCTGTTATTATTGCAGCTGATTTGAGTGATGAACAGGAAGAAGAATTATTAGATGTACTTCGAAAAAATAAGAAAGCTATGGGCTGGAAAATGGACGATCTAAGGGGCATTGATATGAGTGTATGCATGCATAGTATATATTTAGAGGAGGGGGCTAGAACTAGTAGGGAACCACAACGAAGATTAAATCCTAACATGATGGAAATTGTAAAAAAGGAAATTTTAAAGTGGCTGGCTGCTGATATTATTTATTCTATTTCAGATAGCAAATGGGTTAGTCCTACACAAGTAGTGCCAAAAAAATCAGGGATTACGGTTATAAAAAACGAAAATGGGGATGAAATACAAACAAGACTAACTACCGGTTGGAGAGTTTGCATTGATTATAGAAAATTAAATTCAGTTACTAGAAAAGATCATTTTCCCCTACCATTTACTGATCAAATTCTAGAAAAATTAGCTGGAAAAAACTTTTTTTGTTTTCTGGATGGATACTCTGGTTATAATCAAATTTATATAAACCCTTTAGATCAAGAAAAAACAACTTTCACTTGTCCATTTGGTACTTTTGCTTTTAAACGCATGCCTTTTGGTCTGTGTAATGCTCCAGCCACATTTCAAAGATGTATGCTGTCTATTTTTTCTGATATGATTGGAAAATGCATGGAAATTTTTATGGACGATTTTTCTGTTTTTGGCGAATCATTTGATGAATGCTTAAATCATTTACAGCATGTACTTGAGAAATGCATAGAGAAAAAATTAGTTTTGAGTTGGGAGAAATCACATTTTATGGTTAAAGAGGGAGTTGTGTTGGGTCATATTGTGAGTAAAAGGGGTTTAGAGGTGGATAGAGCAAAAATTGATATTATATCTAAAATGAAACCTCCAAATTCAGTAAAACAGATTAGATCTTTCTTGGGTCATGCAGGCTATTACAGAAAATTTATTCAAGATTTTTCGAAGATTTCTAAACCTCTCACCATGCTATTATCTAAAGATATGCCTTTTAATTTTGATGAGAAATGTTTTGAGTCTTTTTCCGTAATAAAAAGATTACTTACTGAGGCACCCATTTTACAAGCTCCTGATTGGTCCCTTCCCTTTGAAATAATGTGTGATGCATCGAATTATGCAGTGGGGGCCGTTCTAGGACAAACAAAAGAGTCAAAACCCATAGTAATTTCATATGCTAGTAAAACTATATCCGATGCTCAATTAAATTATACCACGACTGAAAAATAGTTGTTAGCTGTAGTATTTTCGTTAGAAAGGTTTAGATCATATATTTTGGGAGCTAAAATTATTATTTATACTGATCATGCAGCATTAAAATATCTGTTAAATAAGAAAGATGCAAAGCCACGTTTATTAAGATGGATTTTATTGTTGCAGGAATGACTTAGAAATAAAAGATAAAAAAGGTTTCGAGAATGCTGTTGCTGACCATCTTTCTAGATTAAGTGACACAGGAATAAATGCAGCACCTTTACAAGACGCATTTCTAGATGAACAATTGATGGCAGCTCAACATCAACCATCACCATGGTATGCACATATTGTTAATTTTCTGGTTTCTGGAAAAACTCCAGAACAGTGGGATAAGAACAGAAAAAATCATTTCTTTTCTAAGATTAGAAATTATTTTTGGCATGATCCTGATTTATATTACTTGGGCAATGATCAAATTTTAAGGAGATGTGTTCCTGAAGAAGAATACCATAGCATTATTAACATGTGCCATTCATCTAACTGTGGAGGACACTTCTCTGGACGAAAAACAGCTGCAAAAATTTTTCAGTGTGGTTTTTATTGGCCTACAATCATTAGAGATTCTATAGAATTTGGTAGAACATGTATTTCATGCCAATCTATAAGTAACATGAGTAAAAAAGATGAAATGCCCATGAGTAACATGTTAGTAGTCGAAATTTTTGATGTATGGGGAATAGATTTCATGGGTCCCTTCCCATCAGCTGAAAAATATGAATATATTTTGCTTGCTGTTGATTATGTGTCGAAGTGGGTGGAAGCTATTCCTACTAGAACTAATGATCATAAAATCGTGATGAAATTTGTGCAGGAAAATATTTTTTCGAGATTTGGATGTCCTAGAGTGATTATTAGTGATGGAGGAACACATTTTACAAATAAAAATTTCAGAGAACTGTTGAAAAAGAATGGAGTACACCATAGAGTAGCCACTCCATATCATCCCCAAACAAATGGGCAAGCTGAAGTAGCAAATAGGGAAATTCAGAGAATTTTGAGAAAAATAGTTAGACCAGATAGGAAAGATTGGCCCACGAAATTACAAGATGCATTATGGGCTTATAGAACAGCTTATAAAAATCCCATAGGTATGTCCCCATTTCGTCTCATTTTTGGAAAGCCATGTCATCTTCCTATGGAAATAGAGCATAAAGCATTATGGGCTATAAAAAATTTATGTATGGATGAAAAATCAGCTGGTGGGCATAGAATTTTTCAGTTACATGAACTAGAGGAGTTGAGGAATGAAGCTTATGAAAATCATAGAATATATAAAGAAAAAACTAAAACTTTTCATGATAAATACATTAGCAGAAAAAAAATTGATGTTGGACAAAAAGTGTGGTTATATGATTCTAGGCTGAAATTATTCCCAGGAAAATTAAAATCAAAATGGAAAGGGCCTTATGTGGTGGAAGAGACATATGATCATGGGGCTGTAATGATTAAAGATCCTAAAAGTGATCATAACTTTAAGGTAAATGGACAGCGGCTTAAACATTACATAGAACATGAACGCCTTGCAAAAAAAGAAATTTTATTATTAAAAGAAATTCAAGAGTAAGATCAAGGAGTCCAGCTGGAGACATTAAATTCAGCGCTGCATGGGAGGCAACCCATGGTTTTTATTTCATTCTGTTTGATTTTTTTTAAGCTCTATTTTTCTTAGAATTTCGCAGTACTTGTTTCTGTATTTGTTTTTTTTTCGAAGAAGTGCAAGAGGAGGTGTGTAAGATGAAGTGGAAAATTAAAAACGAGGTTGAGGTGATGTCTTTCTGAGCTTTATCATTATGACAATATTTTTAATGCTTAACTTTGCATATATGCATGCTTTACTTGAAAATTATATTTTCTGCATATTCTGTTTCGATTTTTTTTGTGTCATTGAGGACAATGTCATTTTTAAGTCGGGGGGGAAGTATTCATTATTAATTTATGCTGTAGGACGATTAAGAACATGTGTTTGCATTTTATTCAACTTAGAACAACAACTAAAAAAATAAAAAAAAATCGCCGAATTCGGAAAAACTGCAACATCTATTTTCTGGTTTTCTGTCAGGAACAACAGACTGTTAAAAACAGCAGATGAAAAAAACAACCCGAAATTTGAAATTATAGAGACCCTTTTCTCACATTTCAATCCCCTAGACATATATTACTGAAATTCGAAATTACAGCTATAAAGAAGATAGTTTTGATTTATTTTTGACAAATTTATTACTGCTAAAATAGAACTGAAAACAAAAAACAGAACTGTCAGAACTATCTAATTTACAAATTCCTTACATCATATTGCATGCATGAAAAATTAAATCAATTAGATTGATTGATACCAAAAGATACTAGGAAGATTATTATTGAGTCAAAAGAATGATCTAGTAGCATGAAATGTTGGAATACTCCTTAGATACATGATAGATAACATGGATTTGATTTTACAGATTTTCACTTCATGATCTTGATGGATAATATTTACTTGATGTGAAAATTTGATTGATCATTTGAGTTTAATGGAGATTTTTGCACCCTGATCTATAGGACTTGTGAGGAGAAATCACTTATTTCAAAAAAAAAAAAAAGAAAAAAAAAAGAGAGAGCAATGTGAAAAATCTAGAAACGAAGAGTACACATGGAGGGTGTGAGACATCATTCTCATTGTCGAAAATCGTGTATAGAAAAACACTTGCTGCAAAATAAGTGGATAAAGTGAAAGCCCTGAAAATGAAAAGTACACATAGAGGGTGTGAGACATCATTCTTATTGTCGAAATTTGTCGACAGGAAAAGCTACTTATCCACTATATATATAAAAATAAAAAAAAGAGAAAGAAGAAATATAGTGCAAACTTCAAAAATCAAGCCATAGAAAAAGGGAAATGTAGGATCAATATTATTCTTGGATGAGTATTGATAATTAGAACATCTTGTAAATACATCTACGAGTGAAAAAGTGATAAAGATGTGAATAGAAGAAGTGAAGTCTAGATTGTTATTCCAAGGAGTGTTTAAACATTTAAGTGCTTGACATCATTCTTAAAGACTTGATATAAGAGTCCAAAGTGTCTAAAGGTGCATCATTTCTAATTGTATTTTTATTTTTTTGTATTGAAATATGATGTTTGAAATTTGTAAATTTTTGTAATTCCATTGCTAAGGGACTAGCAATGATTTAAGTTGGGGGGTGTGATAAGTCTTCATTATCATGAGTTAATAATTAGTAAATAATATAGTTTTAGCTTTAACTGATGATAAATAGACGTATATTTGTGTTAAAGTGTGAAAAGTGGTTTTCAATTGATTAATGTGATTTTTTGGGTAATTATGTGATTTTATACGAGTTTATATGATTTTTTACAGTCTTACTTTTGAGATAAATGAAGAAAAAGAAATAAAACTAAAATATTGCAAAATGGGGGGAACCCGTCGGCCAGCCGGGCCCGCAAGCGGGTCGGAAGCTCAGTCAGGGAGTAGCCGCGAGCAGGGGCTCGAGCGGCTTGAACTGATAGGGGCACGTGTGCGCCACTCCCCTTCCACGTCACCGGTGGCCAGCCGGCTGTGGGGCAAGGAGTGGTCGTACACGCGAGAGAAGGGACTTTGCGTAGAAAGCTAACATTACTATATATTTGCCTGAAAAATCGGCGCACAACCGATGTCGGACTAAACCCGCGTCACACCTTCCTCAGAAGGGGCGGACAACCGGCGCGGGTTCGAATCCTCTCAGAGTCAAAATTTATATATTTTTATCTGATTATCGCGACTTTTCTGCAGATCGCCGGTGAAGGATTAAGCAACCAGACTCGCTGGATCATCGGCGGAAATCTCGTCAACGCGATTCACGGAACATTGCTACTAAAATTACTAAACAATTCGTGATAAAAAGATCGCGAATCCATCGAGTAGATCATCTCCGATTGATCGACGAACAAGCCGTCGTCGGGAAGAGGACGATCTGCCGTGAGATGAGTCGCCACCTCCTAAGAGCGTACCGGATGTGATGAAGAGCCTCCTCTTGCTGCGCGGACCTGAGGATGCAGCTCCCAGACACGCGCCCCACCTCCATCCAGCTCCTCTCCGTCAGGTGACAGCCGCCGGAGAGCCGCAAAGTCGCCATTTTTCCGCTCCGCCAGGTGACAGCCGCCGGAGACAATTCGACGACCCACTTCATTGATCTCTAGACTTCGCGAGAAGATCTAGAGATTGCCCACGTCGTTGTTGTCCAAGGAGAGCCTTCGAGGCCGTGGACACTGCACAACGATCCTCCCGAACGCTCAGGATTCCGCTGCATCGCCGACGCATCGCCGTCGCGACGCCGGAACTCTGTTTTCCTGCTTTCAATTTAATTTATGCTTCATTTAGTGATACTTTGTGTGATTTTAATTTACCAAACTATATTTCGTTCAATTACGATTCTTCCAGCTTTTACAAATCTTAATTTGATTAATTAAATCGTCTATAATCGCTTACGTAAGAATCGCCGAGCGGAACTCTATTTCCGCCCGATTCGCGTTCGCCAGACACTGACGTCATCCTGACGTCCGCACCCTTATTTCCTTTTTTTTCGTGAATTTTAAATATATTTCCTTTTCATTTCCTAGTATAAAATTCATAGAAAATCGTATTCATTGAGAAAAACTCTGAATAATTACAAAATATTATATTACATCCCTGTGATCGACCTGGGAAATTACCGCTATTTTTGGAACTTTTATTGAATTATAATTGATATATTTATTTATAAATACTTCTAAATATCCAGAAATTCGTATTTTCTAGTTTTATAAATTTTAGATTTGCGTGATTTAATATACAACGACTGAGTCACGTCACTCCTCTTGCTGCACGGACCTGAGGATGAAACTCCCTAACACACGCCCCGCCTCCATCCAGCTCTTCTTCGTCAGGTGACAACCACAGGAGAGCCGCAAAGTCATTATTTTTCCGCTCCGTCGGGTGACAACTATTAGAGACGATTCGACGACCCATTTTATTGATCTCTAGACTTCGCAAGGAGATCTAGAGATTGCTCACATCATCCTTGTCCAAAGAGAGCCTTCGAGGCCGACGCATCGATGGACTATCCTCCCAAACACTCAAGATTCCGGTGCATCCCCGACGCATCACCGTCGCGACGCCGGAACTCTATTTTTCTGCTTTCAACTTAATTTTCATTTTATTTAGTGATAATTTGTTGATTTCAAATTTACCAAGATATACTTTATTTCAGTAAGATTCTTCCGACTTTTACAAATCTTAATTTGATTAATTAAATTGTCTGCAATCACTTATGTAAGAATTATCAAGCGGAACTCTATTTCTGCCGAATTTGTGTTCGCTAGGCGCTGACATCATCCTGACGTCCACACCCTTATTTCCCTTTTTCGTGAATTTTAAATATATTTCCTTTTTATTTCTTAGTATAAAATTCATAGAAAATAGTATTCTTTGAAGAAAAATCTAAATAATTACCTGATATTATATTACATCCCTGTGATTGACCTAGAAAATTACTATTATTTTTGGAAGTTTTATTGAATTATAATTGATATATTTGTTCAGAAATACTTCTAAATATCCAAAAATTCGTATTTTCTAGTTTTATAAATTTTAAATTTACGTGATTTATTATACAACAACTAAGTCACGTCAATTAACATTTATTTTATTAGAATATATGATTTCGATTGTGAGGTAAAGTTGTATAGTGAGTTTGATATGAGCAAGAGGCTCAACAATAGTCTACTTAATACTTTGAAGCATCCATGTGACTACAACAGAGTCAATTTGGGACTAAAAAGCATAGGTTGAGTCAACAATAACTGACAAATCATCCGTTAGATGATGAAAGAGACTATGGGACATAAGAAATTCCTCGAAATCTGATGCACATAATTGAGACCAGTGAAGATGTATGTTAGCCGAGTTAACTGTACTGTGATCGAGTGCTGTGGAAGGAGTGCTAACAACAAAAACATGTCGACTAGAAGTGAGGCCGTGGGTTGAGGTCCCTAAAGTGGAGAAGATGTATTATCTTAGTGTATAATGACGATGAAAAATAATGTACTAATGTAAACATAATAATGTGTAGCAAGGGACGACATGTAGTAATAGATAGCACGTAGTAAGAAGATAGTGTGGTGGGAGGCGGTGCAGTATGAGACAATACCATGATATATAGTGAGATACTACAACAGCAGATACTACAAGAGCGGGAGGGGCCAAAGTGGCAAATGTCACGATGAGAGTGGTTGCGGTAGCAGATGCTGCAATGGCAAGGGCTGCAATGGCAAGGGCCGTGATGGCAAGGGCCGTGATGGCAAGGGCCGTGATGGCAAGGGCCATGATGGCAAAAGGAGGGGGCACTGCAATGACAAAGGGGCCGCGGCAGTAGGGCAAATGCCAACGAACTGATTGTGCATGGTGCAATGGCAGATTTCGATAGCACGATTGATGGTGGTAAGCAACAAATGGTAGTGTGCAGTAGAGGATGGCATGTAGAGAGAGAGAGGGAGAGAGAGGGAGAGAGAGAGAGAGGAGAGCATGCAAAAGATGCAACAGCAGCACGATGGTGATGGTATGTGTGGTGACTACTAGAAAGAACTCTAGGGCTCTGATACCATGTTGACAAGAAGGGTTAAAGATAATGGGCCCAAGTGGGCCACGTAGAAGAAGATATCCCAAACACTCTTTTTCATATAAATCAAGTAAAGTTAAACTTAGTTATTCTCCAATCAAGATCATAGGGCTCTATTCTTTTTCTCTCTTCTATTTGACAAGCAAAGCGAAAGACCAAAGTTGAAAAAGTGGAGATCCTAATTTGAAATAGAAAGTACACATATTTAAGCTCTTTTTTTAGGCCTTATTAGTGGCAATGAGTGTATATTAAAATTTAGCTGAAAGCTTTCAAAGCCTGAAGTCAAATCCCCATTCACCTTGTTTCTAGCATCTTTTTTAGCGTCCTAATTTGGTGACATGTGAATTGTAGCATCTTCATGATAAAAGGCATTTTTAAACGGTAATAACAATGTCGGGTATTATTATTAAAAATTATAATATTTGCATAAATAATATTTTTCCCCGAAGGTTCTCTCTTGATTGGACCATAAGCTTCCTATGCTGAAGATAATAATGTATTCCTCCATATATCAAACCACAACATCACTTTAACAGTTAAACAACAGGAAAAGAGCTCATCTCCTCATGAGAATTGAAATGATTTGGCCCATCGTATGACTTGTATATCTATCATTTTTTAAACGGCAGGTCGTTTAGAGTAGTAGGAGCTCAGTCCAGTCCGGTGGGCTCCACCGCCCGAGCATGTCAACTCTGGTCCCCTCCGGTCTCCAGCTAATCCCCGGCAGCGGCCGCTCTGTCAGAGCTCGAGTTCTCCTCTCCGGCGGAGGACAGACGGCGGAGACCGGCCGCCCGGTCCCCACTGCCGCCCCGCTGGCGGAGGGTAATGAACAGCACCACCTCCTACGCCGTTCGCGGCGAGATCAAACCTCATTAACTCCGGCAACAAAGAGAGAGGACCACCTCACGGCCGGCGACAGGCCCCCGGCGGCGCCACCGGAGTTCCTATCTTCCTCCGCCGGAGGGAGGGAGATAATACGTCCCACCCACCTCCCCAGCTCATGTCTCGCCAGGCAGCGGAGTTAAGACCCATCTGGGCACGAGCGGCGTGATAGCTGCGAAAGGGACGCAGCGCCGCCGCGTGCGGCGGCGCCACCGGGGAGGCGCCAGGCTGTGGCTGTTGGCGGAACGGATTGGGACAAGTCGGCAAAAAGACCAGCGAGAAAGCGAGGCGAGGAGATGCGGCCGGCACGGGGGACAGCCACCGGACAAGCCCCCGGCCGCGTGGAGCCCACCGCCGGCGAGGGGGGACCTGTCGACATCCATATCATGGGAGGGGAAAGAAGAAGACGGAAGAGGCATGCATACGTGCGAAAAATTCGTGAGGGGTTGAGGGGAGTTTTGTGAAAAGGTCCAGATGAACTGTACATTTATTTACGGTCACATGAAGGCGCCCATTATTGACGAGCCACCCGGGAAGTAAATAAAATCTCAATGCGACGTTGACGCCACACGTGGCTGTGCGAGCGATGGGTATTTAAAACATTCACCAGCATCACGGGGGTAAAATTGCTCTTCCGTTCACACGTGTGAACACGGTCAAACGGTGGTGGTGGTCGTCGTCGTCATCCTCGTCCTCCTCGTTGGAGAGGGTAAATTAGGCAAACGGGGGTTGAAAAGATTGCAACTTTTAGGGGGATTTGAATCCGCAATTGATCTGGGCGAGGAGGGGAGGCATCTTCGTCTCACCCGTGTCGGTTTCCCTCCCTCTTTCACACCCAGAATAGCAGGAATCGCCGCCAAATGCTGACCGTCGGCGTGGCGGAGGAAGAACCGGAGGACGTAGCAGGAACACCACCAGCTCCTGCTCCGTTCCCCTCCCCTTGAGGACACCCCCACAGCCACAGAAGAGAGAGAGAGGAGAGAGAAAGAGGGAGAAATATAGAGGGGGGGAGAGAGAGAGGGAGAGAGAGGGTGCCAAATATATACCAGGTGCCGCGCCACGCGGGTGAACACCCGCTCTCTCTCTCTCTCTCTCTCTCTCTATCTTCCTCCTGGTTGCAGGGCCCTCCGGCGCGGTGTTCCGTGGTAAAGGAGACGGAGGAGAGTAAAGGAGGGCTCACAGGAGGGAGAGGGGGAGCGTAAAGGAGGACGGGGGGGAATTATTAATGAAGTAAAAGGGTGATTTAAAGCTCCTCTTCCACTGGTTCCTGCCCTTTAACCCTTTCCCTCTCCTCTGTCCTCTCTCTTCTTCTTCTTCTCTGTTCTGCTTCCGATTCCTCGGCCGCCGCAGCATTGCGATCCAATCGAGGAATTGGGGTCCTCCGCTTTCTCCGTCTCCATGGTCCTCTCCTGTGCGGGGGTGGTCATGCCGGTGGCGGCGCTGATGGGTCACCGCTGGCGGCGCCGCTGACCCAGAGAGCGAGGAAGCTAGAGAGAGAGAGAGTGAGAGGGAGGAAGAGAGAGATGTACAAGGACCAGCAGCGCTCCATGATGTGGGAGACCACCGTGAGGAAGACCCAGCAGCAGCAGCAGCTCTCTGTGGGCCGCCGGCGCGGCTGCGGCATCTTCCCGGCGACTTCCGTCGTCCCCTCGGCCGACGACGATGACGGCTCATCAGCCGCCTCCCCCACCGCCGCCGCCGACGAGCTCTCCGGCGGCGGTGGCGGCGGGGCGGCGGCGGAGGAGGAAACCTACCACGCGGAGCGCCTCCTCCCCAACGGCGACTTCTACACCGGCCTCTGGACCGGCAACCTGCCCCACGGCGGCGGCAAGTACCTCTGGACCGACGGCTGCATGTACGAGGGCGAGTGGTCGCTAGGGAAGACGACGGGGAAGGGCAAGTTCTCCTGGCCCTCCGGCGCCACCTACGAGGGCGAGTTCAAGGCCGGCTTCATGGATGGCTTCGGTACCTACACCGGCGCCGCCGGCGACACCTACCGTGGCACCTGGTGCATGAACCTCAAGCACGGCCGCGGCAGGAAATGCTACGCCAACGGCGACATCTACGACGGCGAGTGGCGCGCCGGCGTGCAGGACGGCCACGGCCGATACGTTTGGAAGAACTGCAACGAGTACGCCGGCGCGTGGAAGGCCGGCGCCATCCACGGCCGTGGGAAGCTCGCCTGGGCCAACGGGAACTGCTACGATGGCGAGTGGGAGGACGGCGTGCCCTCCGGCAAGGGCCAGTTCCGGTGGGCCGACGGCAGCCGCTACGTCGGCGTGTGGAGCAGGGAGAGGACCGTGAAGAAGGGCGTCTTCTACCCCTCGCCGGCGGCGGCGGCGGCTGCGGCGGCAGCAGGGGAGGCGATGGTGAGGGACCTGCAAGAGGCGGTGGCAGTCGATCTCGGGGACTGTAAGATCTGCCCCGGGGAGAGTGTCTCCATCTTGCCGTCGCAGAAGACGCTCAACTGGTCGGGGATCGAGGCGGAGTTCCTGCACAAGCAGGCGGCGTGGAGGTCATCTAAGGCGGCGGATTCGGGCGGCCCCGCCGCACGCCGGCGGGCCTCGGTGGATGGCTTGAGGGGCGGTGGCAGGCGGAGCAGCAACAGCAACAGCTTCCACAACGCCTCCGGCGGCGGCGACCGGGGATTGGACAAGTTTTGCGTGTGGGCGTCGGAGGGGGACATCACCTGCGAGATCGTCGACGGCGGCGGAGCCGCCTCTGCGGTGACTGCGGCGGGGGGAAGGGAAAGCAATGCCGACGCCCCCGGAGAAGGATCAGACGGGAAACAGATGAAGTGGGCACCCAGAGAGACGAAGAAGCAGGGGGAGACCATCTCCAAGGGCCACAAGAACTACGAGCTCATGCTCAATCTCCAGCTGGGCATCAGGTACCTCCGCCGATCATCGAGGCTCTCGATCTGCTTTCTGTTCAAGAACAAGTTTTTTTTGTTTTTTGCTATTTATGGTAAAATTGATCACTCTGCAACTCTGTCGGGTTGCAGGTACTCGGTGGGGAAGCCGGCGCCGGCTACGACCTTCGATCTGAAGGCGTCGGCTTTTGACCCCAAGGAGAAAGTGTGGACCAAGTTCCCTCCGGAGGGGACCAAGCACACGCCGCCGCACCAGTCCTGCGAGTTCAAGTGGAAGGACTACTGCCCCGTGGTCTTCAGGTCAACTCCCCCGGGATGACCGGAATTGGAAAAAAACGAATCTTTGATGATACTGGAAGTAGTCGGCGTTGACTCTCGGCTCGATTGTTCTTCCCAGGACCCTGAGGAAGCTGTTCAAGATTGACGCCGCCGACTACATGATCTCCATTTGCGGGAATGACGCCCTGAGGGAGCTCTCATCACCGGGGAAGAGCGGGAGCTTCTTCTACCTGACCCACGACGATCGTTACATGATAAAGACAGTGAAGAAGTCCGAGGTCAAGGTGGGCATTGACAACTGTCTAGTTCGTTGACCTGGCTCTCTCTCTCTCTCTCTCTCTCTCTCTCTCTCTCTCTCTCTCTCTCTCTCTCTCTCTCTCTCTCTCTCTCCCTCTGTCTCTCTCTGTCTGTCTGTCTGTCTCTCTCTCTCTCTCTCTCTCTCCCTCCCTCCCTCTCTCTCTCTCTCTCTCTCTCTCTCTCTCTCTCTCTCTCTCTCTCTCTCTCTCTCTCTCTCTCTCTCTCTCTCTCTCTCTCTCTCTCTCTCTCTCTCTCTCTGTCTTATCTTTCTCGCTCCAGGTCCTTCTGAGGATGCTGCCGGCCTACTACAACCACGTTCGGGCATTTGAGAACACCCTCGTCACCAAGTTCTTCGGCCTCCACTGCGTCAAGCTGACTGGCGCCACCCAGAAGAAGGTACACCGCCATTTGACCGTCATCATCATCAACATCCTTTTAGTTTTTTTTTCTGCGGAGGAAAAACTCAGCATATTAAGCTATGAACGGGAAATCTGTTCTTCATACGTAGCAGGTCCGATTTGTCATAATGGGAAATCTCTTCTGCTCCGAGTATTCCATCCATAGACGATTCGATCTGAAGGGGTCCTCCCATGGCCGGACGACCGACAAGCCGGAAGATCAGATCGACGAGACCACGACCCTCAAGGACCTCGATCTCAACTTCTTGTTCCGTTTACAGAGATCTTGGTTCCAAGAGTTCCAGAGGTAGCATCAAATTGCGAATAATAAGTTTTTAATCCTGCAGATTAAGTTTTTTTTTGAAAGCTCGCACGCTGTTGTTGCAGGCAGGTGGATCGAGACTGTGAGTTCCTCGAGCAGGAGAGGATCATGGATTACAGCCTCTTGGTGGGCTTACACTTTAGGGAGACTGCGACTACCCCTGGAGATCACCAGGGAGGGGAAAGTCAGCCCTCTGGATCTCTCTCCTCTTCCTGCTCTCGCTAATCTGACCAAACTTTCTCTAACCCACGCGTCCACGCCCTGTTATCTTCTCCAGCAGCAATCTTCGACCGTGCAAGTAACTCGAGCGAAGCCACCCCTAGGCTCTCCAGAGTGGACATGGATCAGCTTCTCTGCGATCCGACCAGGTTCACAGAAGTCAACCCGGATGCTTCCTCTACTCAACTCTCTCCAGCATCACCGGATGCCCTGATTCTCCTTTAACCATGTCTGGGTCGTTGACCGGCAGGTGGGCGACCATCCGGCTCGGGGTCAACATGCCGGCGAGGGTGGAGCAGACGCAGCAGCAGAGGAGCGAGGGCGAGTCGCCCCCGCCGGTGGGGGAGACTTTTGACGTGGTGCTCTTCTTCGGCATCATCGACATTCTGCAGGACTACGACATCAGCAAGAAGCTGGAGCACGCGTACAAGTCAATCCAGTACGACCCCACCTCGATATCCGCCGTTGACCCGAAGCAGTACTCGCGGCGGTTCCGGGACTTCATCTTCAAGGTGTTCAGGGAAGACCCGTGAGCCTGCTGCTACTGCCGCTTTTAGTAATGCAGCCCATTGTCGGGCATGCGGCAGCTGTGCCATGCCGACAATGGGCCATATTACTGATTCTGGGGTTGGTGGTGGTCGGGAAGAGGGGGGGAGAAGAAGAAGAGTTCTGGAAGTGAACGCTCCGCCGCCAGGGAGGCTCGCGGCGGCGGCGGCGAGGTGGACCTCGGATTGGGGCTTCTGGGGGAATCGGAAAGACGGCGGCGGTGCGGCGGCGCGGGTCCTTTCTTCCTTCGCTCCGGTAAATACAATACACCTATACATGTCTCTCAAGTATACGCATAGTTTTTATCTACCGTTCATCACAGAAAGTTTCTATTTTTCGGCTCAAATGTAAAGGGAAGAGCGCAAGCCAACTGAGCGATGTAAATGATTGGCCTTGTACCAGAGCTGACTCGTCCTCTCCTTCTGACCCATTTCTTGTCTCGGAAGATCAGCAGCTCCCTCTCCCTCTCTCTCTTTCTCTCTCTCTCTCTCTCTTTCTCTCTCTCTTACACACACACACACACACATATAAAGTGATAAGAGAATACTAACCTAACACGCGATACCCAACTTAGGTACGCGGTGCTTTTAGGCATGATTCTTTATAGAATATGTGCCACATATCACAATCAGGGTTAAAATTAAGAGTGAATCACTAAGTCTGTTAGTTTTTGAAATGCTATTGGGATATCATTATTCTAAATCAAGAAATCATTTCCAAGCAACCCATTGAGAGTAAATGCAATCGAATTGTAATTTTCTATGAAGTTTTTCTTCACAGCTCATCAATCTTGAAAACAGCTTTTAATGGGGTCTATTTTCTTGTAACCATACTTACCCCTTTCTATGATAAGTATAGGACCTCCAATTAAGAGTTTCTTACTCTTCAGGTGGATAGTCATATGGCCTTTGACTGAGTGGCTCTTGTATTTCTTACCCTTCAATTAAATACTATTTATTTATAAAACCAACTTGAAAATTATTCATTTATGTAGACCTATTTTGTACTTGAACACTAAATAGTGCTTGCACAATTTTTCAAAAAAAAAAAGTGAAAAGTATTAATCAAGACATAGAAAGAATAGTTTAATTATCTATGAGATTTAATTTAATTATTAATACCTTGAGTTGAGGTCAAGATTGGAATAAAAACTTGTATTCCTAAAAGGCATATCTCAGACCATTGCAATATAAAATTTCTCCACAATAAGCACATCTTAGTGATAATTTTATAGACTCCTTTCCCTTCAAACCCACATACTATTCATCTTAGTGATACTTAATTCTTTGCATCCACAAAGTTATTGTTTAGGGTTGCATTGTGAAGAATATTAACTTCTTAGTATCTCTTCGATGTAGTTTCACACATAAAAATAGAATGCATATTCTTCCTACTCATTAAAAAGAAATGTGGCAATGATAGTAAAATGGCTAAGGCCACTTACTAAACTAGAGATGTTCAACAAACTGTAAGCCTAAGTTGGGAAACTTGATGATTGTTGGTAATGAAATTAAGGTTGCTATTGTAATCCCTAGAAGGTCAGGTTAATAATTATTTTACAATGGATGTATATTTAAGTGAGTTTCTTTCCAATCTAGGTACTTTAGTTGGAGAATTATCTTGTGTACATATAAGTGTACCGTTTGCAAGATTCACTTCATATGTCACTCTATATGTCATTGAGTATATACCAAATGTCATGGCTTCAAAAATGTAACTCCATCATAGATGTATTCTGCATTCAAATATTCATATGCTGATTCAATCAATGAAAATCAGTGTTTTTTCAAGCTAGAGACCCGCAAGATGAAACATTTACGCGATTCCAGACTAATCTTGGTGATGCAAATCGAGTTACCTTAAGAAAGAGGCATATGGGTCGTGGACTCGGATGATTTTGTAAATAATTATTTTTTTGAGAAAAACATTTTGTCCAGAAAATAATCGCAAAGGACAGTTCCATTTATCACATCCAGACAATGAATAGTTAGAAGATTCTTAGATGGAAAATGGACCCATAGGGTAATAGAGGCCCATAAACTCGGTGAAACCAAGTCAAGGTTCTGGGTGAAAATGATGCTATTCTTACCCATAAACTCGGTGTAATGAGTCTCTCTCTCTCTCTCTCTCTCTCTCCCCTTCTCTGATCAAGGGTCTAAGCAAGAGAAAGGCACGGGTCTTCTCCTCCCTTACCCTTTCTCCACTTTTTGCCTTCTCTTCTCTCTCCCTCTCTCTCTTTCTCTTTCTCTCCTCACACCACTGCACACAAGGGTAGAGGAAGAGGGAAAGCCCTACCCTCCTCTCCATTCTTCCTCTCAACCTCTTTTTCCCTATCCCCCTGCTTTCTCGCTCTTCCGGTTCCTCCTGTTTTAGGAGAACTCGGGAGCGGTGTTGACAGGATGGGAAGCAGCGAAGGAGACAATAAAGACGAGACAGGGAAGTAGCAAATGCGTAGGCGTGTCAGCGTAGGGAAGAGAGGGGGAGTAGAGGCTGCTGCAGAGGTGGTGCCAAGATGAGAGGAAGCAGTAACGCCGGTGACAGTGGGAGAAGCCTGTGGATTAGTAAGCCGAGGCGGCGGTGAAGTATGGAAGAGAGAGAAGAAAGAGCTGACACCTTGGGACGACGGTGCAGTGGAGGTACCGTCGCCGTCAACGCCAGTCTGGGCCCCCTCTTCCACTCTCTCTCTCCCTCTTCCTCTCTCTCTCTCTCTCTCTCCCTCTTCCTCTCTCTCTCTCTCTCTCTCCCTCTTCCACCCTCTCTCTCCCTCTTCCTCTCTCTCTCTCTTTCTCTGTCTCTCTCCCTCTCTCTCCCTCTCCCTCTCCCTCCCTCCCTCCCTCCCTCTCTCTCTCTCTCTCTCTCTCTCTCTCTCTCTATCTCTATCTCTCTCTCTCTATCTCTATCTCTATCTCTCTCTCTATCTCTCTCTCTATCTCTCTCTATCTCTCTCTATCTCTCTCTCTATCTCTCTCTCTCTCTATCTCTATCTCTCTCTCTCTCTCTATTTCTCTCTCTTTCTCTCTCTCTCTCTCCCCCTCTCTCTCTCTCTCTCTTTCGCTGCCTCGTCGGTCAAGTATTGATGAGAGTGAACATGGTGTCGGCGTCAACGGGTGTGATGGGCCCCGCCTCTCTCTCCTCCTTTGTTCTCTCTCTCCGATGGCCGTCAACGGCGGTGTAGAACTCCGTCTCTCTCTCTCTCTCTCCCTCCCTCCCTCCCTCCTTCTCTCTCTGTGATGATGTTGTGTCGCCGTCGACGGTGCCCTAGCCGCCCCCCCCAGCTCTCTCTCTCTCTCTCTCTCTTTCTTAGCGCTCCAAAACTGCTGGAGGGGAGAGCCAAAAGATCCAAAACTGCAGGAATCTACTCGGCTCCCCTCACTAATCTCACCATATTCTGTCACAGAGCTCGTATGACTTCATCACCAGCACTTATGCCGCACATTTATAAGCGTACACCTTCCTGCAAGAAGCCGCCTCGGCAAGTACTGCTTAGGGTTGCTGATAAAACTCCAAGTTTTATAGCCGAACATCTCGAACTACTGAATAACGTTACCACAAATGACACCTCGCGTTGGCTCAGGAACCATTTAGTTCTACAGACTAGACTTCGCCTACTTTCCAATCGTAATGAATTCGTACAAACATTCTCTCAGAGCCTAGAGTTTCATCCTGAACACACGCTCTTTCCCTCCTCAACCCGTCTTCTTCCTCCCCTCGACACGCCTTCGTCTTTCATTGGGCTAATTATTTCCTTCTTTAGAAAATTTTCAATTCTTTTCCTCCTGCTTTGCGTGTTTGGTATACATTAAACCGTTCTCTTCTTCCTTCTTCTGTCGTAGATTTCGCAGTTTCCGCTGGCTGACGAATCTTATCTGAAGCATGTTCTCTACACGCTCTCCGGGGTTTCACCCCTTAAACACTTTCTCTCGCAAACAAGACTCTCACCTAGGTAGCTCATGCTATTTCTCTGTCTCTCTCTCTCTCTCTCTCCAAATTTTCAGCTTATCACATCTTGGCCACCCATCAACTGAGCTCAGACTTACCTTCGTCTTCTATACTCCCATGCGCAGGTCTCTTATCCTTCCCCTGATGCCGCCATTATCAACCTTCTCATTCCTCTTGGGAGTTTAATGAAAGAAACTCGAGCATCCTCACGTCAAAGCTATTGGTGCCGCCCTGCACGCCATGCAGGAGCTTCATGCCTTGAAAGTAGAGCAGCTCTGCGCTTGCCATATTTTATCATCCTAGCATAACCCTAACTAATAAAGCCCTCGTGGTCAATGACTATTATCGGTACTACTACTTCAGCCTATTGACTTTGAGAACACCGGTACTTATACTCAAGTCCACGAGGTTTGTTACGGAATCAGACGTGGGTTTGACTTTCATAATCATGGTTAGCGCGAGGAAGTAGGAATAAAGAGAGATTTGGAGAGCCATTTCGGATGGACTTGATGACAATAAGATATGACGACTTTAAGGGGAATCTTGCCCCCCCAACGATCACTATGGTGATAGAGAGTGCTTTAATCCTGTGATTTGACCACGTTGTTTGACTTTTTATTCTTCCACGATTTTCTTTTTGTAGGATACTTGAAGCAATAATAATTAGAACACGGAGTATTCAAAACTGAGTGACTCAAGAAACTCTGGTTATTTTGAAACAGTGTGTTGACTCAGACAAATTAGTGAGGAATAAGAGGACAGGCTACGTTGACTTTTACAGATGCCATTTTCAAGGGTCAAACAAGCCTGAAAGACGTGTACGCTGAGCTTAGATTGGTGGGCCCACAGTGATGGTAAATTGGGTAGAGACTCTCAGCTTGGTCTCAACCCGAGTTAGCCAATCAAACATGGAAACGTTGAAATTTAGATTGTTTGGGCCTGGGCCTCGTGGTAAATCGGCCAACCCAGTAGTCAGACCGTTGACCATTTATGGGCCCAGTACGGCCCATGAGGCCCAATAAATACTGGTAGTCAGACCAGCGAGCAAGAGAGAGAGAGGGATGACACATTGCGCAACCGAGGACGTTCCCACAGAATCGGTCACCGTCACGGGCGGCTAGACAGTACAGATGACAGTACAGAGAGGAGAGAGATAGAGAGGAGCGCCACGTTTAATCTCCATCCTGACATCGGCATTTCGACGTCATGGTGTCCCGGAGGACAACCCCGGGGGGAAACCCAGAGAGATCACCGACGAGAGAGAAAAAAAGAAAGAGAGAGAGATTATACTCGCACGATATGCAAACCGGAACAGTTTGGATCGACCGACTATGCAGAACAGCTGCTCGACGAAATGCCGATGGATCTTTGCATCTCAGAGTGGTAGAGAGATGTAAAGGATGATGGAGAAGAGAGAGGGAGAGCTTATGGTGGGGTGGCGAACAGCCAACAAATAACCTCTCTCTCTCTCTCTCTCTCTCTCTCTCTCTCTCTCTCTCTCTCTCTATTTTCCTCTTCTGGACTTGTCTTCCAAATAAAAACAAGGGCAAGAGCAGAGATTGTACGTAGACCAGGTCATCGCCAGCTTCTTAGTAATTAAACCACCACAACTTGCCCCTTCATTAACTTATTAGCCACACTCTTAAATTCATTCCCACCGAGTTTCCTGCTCCAATGACCACCGCCTGTCCTCGTCTCGTCACAATTACCTCTCACTACCCATCCGACCGTTGCATGCCGGCAAATATCAACTCACAATTAATTTAATTAAAAAATAATGCAGGACTACGCCCACTTCTCTCCTCTCTCCCCTCTCTCCTCATTTGACGGACACGATTGCGTGAATCTTTTTTTTTTCCCTCAACGGCGTGGATCTGTCCACACCGATTTAAAAAAAAGAACCTACGAGTGCCCCTTTTTCTATATTTTATGTAATTAAGTGGGATTATTTTCCTTAAGTTGACAATGTTACACAGCCGACGCTAAATAGTCAAACCAAAGAAAATATGTTTGTTTCTTTGATTTTGGTATCGCTGACTTTATCCCAACTCTGGTCAACCCAAAATAATCATTATTCCGAAAAATTAGAGGAAAAAAATTCACTCCCCCCGGGAGAGGCCGGCCTCTTGACTGGGGAGTTTGAAAATTCTATGCCACGTTGACCGGTATAAATGGATTAATAATTATTACTTACCAATTAAAGGAATTTTCTTTTTTTTTTCCTGCGGGCGGGGTCCTTCTATTAATTAGATTAATATCCGGGAAACCCAAAAAAATCCGGGAGAAAAATGGATTAATAATCATTACGTAAAAATTGTACAATTTTTTTTTGGGGGAGGGGCGAGTTCGAAAATTAAACGCCACGTGGCGAAATATAAATGGACGGTAAGTGGGCCCCGTGCGCCGTAACTCGCAATAGACTATTAATTTATGGAGCCGCCGGTCGTGTCGGAGCCAACACAAAAGTACGAGACCACGGCTGGCACATGGGCCCGGCCCCGCGCCAAAAAATGGGGCCCACGTACAATTTCTCTATTGCTTTTGCGGGGCTCGAGGCGCCTCGGTGTCCCCCTCTCGGACAGCGCGCCGCCTCACCGCGCGGCGCATTCGGATCTGAATCCGATGAGACGTACCGAATTTTAATATTTTTTCATATTCCCGCAGCCCCCGACCGTCCGATTTCCGCCACGTTGGCACCCGCTTAAGGTAAATTCCGTTAATCCTGCTGGGCATATCTCTGAGACCGCGCCGCCCAACCGATCTCTTCATTAAACTCGGAGATCTCCGCTCTCTACCTCTCTCTCTCTAGGCCATTAAAAAATAGGTAGAGAGATAAAGGGCGGCGCAAATAATGGGCCGCCGGCGCAAGGCGGCGCCGCCGTTCGATGGTCGCCGGCGGATGGAGAAAATTCACCGGTTAACGGGAATCCGACATGAAATCTGTAGACTTGGACGGCTGGGATTCTGCTGGCCGGGGGAATGGACGGTCCTTATTTCCCATGACGAGAGCTCCGACGGGACGGATTTGGCGGTGACGGCGATAGGTAGACAGAGGAAGCCAACTCGCCGATACAGTACGGACGTTCTCCCTCTCCCTTTCTCTCACAACATAGTTATCATACTCTCTCTACCTCTCTCTACCTCTCTCTACCTCTCTCTCTCACACTCTGAGATTCTTCGTTAGCACGTGTACGTTTGACTATAGTCAATAATACAGTACAATCGTCCATAATGCAAAATTTGCTCTCTTTCTCTCTCCCATCTCTCTAGCTTACATCAACTTGGGCGGGACGCGTCGGTTCTACGTGTTTCACGGTTGACCAAAATTAGCGCCGATACAACGTGGTACGATGGTCCACGGCGAGGCCTGCAGGCTTTGGACAAGGTGAGCTAACTATTTCCGGAAAATTTAAAAGATATTAGGCACGTGCGGGGCTCTACTTAGAATGGAATCCAAAGAATTCGTAGAGAGAATATCAATTAGTCTGCCTCGAAATGACGAATTTCACTGCGTTATCCAACAGAACAGTACAGTGATCCATTAGTAATTACATTTATTTTATTATTGTTATTATGTGAGCAACAATTACCGAGAGGATTTTATGTGACAATTATGGTAATAATTAACAATGTTGTAAGATATAAGTTGAACACATCACATAAAGGTAAGTTGACCGTCATCCTGGATTAACTATGCAAATGATTATTACTTAATTAATTACTGATTTAATTCGTAAAATCAAGCCCAGTAAAATAAATAAAAGAAAAACTCGTGGTAAATGATCTTACCATGTGGCCATTCAATGACGGCCATGTGCCCGGGAGGTAGGGTTTGGGAGCCTAAACTAGAATCTAGATTGGGGTCAAGTCAGGTATTATAAAATCCATTATTTAACAATAAATCGATAAATTTATAATATCTAATTATAATATACGTCTGATATTGACTGATTTAAGAATCTGGGTAAGCCTCCTACACGACGTGCACGTGGACACCATTCGATCAGAAAATTTTCTATTTTGAGAAATAATTTTAATTCTTTAAAATTTTGAGCTTAAAGATCGATTATTTGGGATCGATTGTGTCAAAGTAGGGGGGGAATTGTGGTTCGATCAAATAATTGCAAGATAATTCTTGAGAATAATGCGGACTGTGTGTGGTATTTTGTGATTTTGAAAACGCACAAATTTTTCGAAGAATTGTGTAAGAAATGGAGATGGAGTGGTCGCTGCTCTCTCTCTCTAGAGTCCAGTCCCCCGCGCTCTCTCTGTGTACTCCAGTCCCGGGGTGCGGCGGTGGTCGCCTGTGCAGGTTGAGAAGTATCTTCCCTTCTAATCAGGAGAGGATTTGTGCCGATAATTGTGGGCACCGGCATGTTCAGTGGCTGGGGGAAGCGGACGAGGAAAGGGGAGTAGGTGGGTAGAGAGAGAGAGAGAGATTGAGAGCAAGCGAGAGAAAGACAGAGAGATAGAGCGAAAGAGAGAGCGAGAGAGAGCGACAGGGCGAGAGAGGGGGAGAGAGGGGGGGAGAGAGAGAGAGAGAGAGAGAGAGAGAGAGAGAGAGAGAGAGAGAGAGAGAGAGAGAGAGAGAGAGAGAGAGAGAGAGAGAGAGAGAGAGAGAGAGAGAGAGAGAGAGATAGAGAGAGAGAGAGAGAGAGAGAGAGAGAGAGAGAGAGAGAGAGAGAGAGAGAGAGAGAGAGAGAGAGAGAGAGAGCGAGAGAGAGAGAGAGAGAGAGAGAGAGAGAGAGCGAGAGAGAGCGAGAGAGAGAGAGAGAGAGATAGAGGGAGAGAAAGAGAGAGAGAGAGAGAGAGAGCCAGATAGATCGAGAGAAAGAGAGAGAGCGAGATAGAGGGGGAGAGAGAGAGAGAGAGAGAGAGAGAGAGAGAGAGAGAGAGAGAGAGAGAGAGAGAGAGAGAGCGAGATAGAGCGAGCGAGAGAGCGGGAGAGAGAGAGAGAGAGAGAGAGAGAGAGGGGTCTGAAGAAAAGGGTGGGGAGAAATAAATTTCTTTGCTCTGCGGAGTGAAAGGCAGAACTTTTAGCAGCAGGGGCAGTGCGGCAGAGCGGTGAAGCAGCAGCAAGCCGCCCGGACAGCCGGCAAAGGCAGGAGGCGGAGAGAAGTATGCTGCCTGGAGAGCCGGACAGGGTAAAGGATCAAGAGAGAGAAAGGGAGGACCAAGAGAGAGAAAGGAGCATCGAGAGAGAGAGAGAGGCCGTGTACGTGCGTGACCGGTGAGGGAGTATAGGGATCGAGAAGATCTCTCACACGGAGGGAATTTCAGAGCGGCCGCTGTCTGCCCAGTTCCTCTCTCCGGTCCCTTGCCCTCCCCTACTCTCTCTTTCTCTCTCTAGACGAGAGCATAGAATTTACTCGAGGGAAGAGGGGAAACATCGGTCGGTCGGTACCCTTCCCCACTGGCGGAGGGATGGGAGGATAGAAACTGACACGCAGGTTGCAGAAGGAAAAGAGATAGAGAAAACCTTGATTGGGGAGAGCTCGGGAGGGGGGAACCATCTCTTCTGGCATATAAATACCGGCCAAGCTCCTGCAATTCTCTCTCATCTCTCATCCTTCGCCCTTCCATCGCCCTTCTCTCTCTTTCTCTCTCTACCCCCTTGTCTTCCCTGCCATTGTGGCTTCTGGAAGGAGGTTCCCATCCGATACTGGAGCATTCGCAGACTGGGTGGCGTCCTCCGCCACCGCCCGCGGTGACGACCTCTGCCTCGGATTTAATGCCGGCCCCGGAGCAGGAGGAAGCGGAAGCGGATCAGCTGCACCCACCGGCGGCGGCGGTGGCGGCGGCGGCTTATGGGCCTCCGCCGCCGCCGCCGCCGCCGGCCGAGGACCCCTCAATTACGGCCTCGCCGACATCCTCGTGGTCGCTCCTCCATCCTCTTTCCACTCCCAGCAAAACCAGAACCACCACCCCAGCGAAAGTGCCGCCGGCATGCTCTCCGCCGCCGATCACCCCATCATCCCTCTCCTCACTGCAGCGCCTTGCTTCGTAGAAGACCCCGACCCAACCGCCACCGCCGCCGCCGCCGCCGCCGCCGCCGGCCGCTGCAGGCTCTCCACCGGCATCAACCTCTGGCAGAACCAGTCGCCGCAGCAGGCGGCGACGTGGGTTCCCCAGAACTCCTTCCCCCTCTCCAAGCCCACCGCCATGCCCGTGCTCGATTCCGCCGGCGCCGCCATGGCCGGCGTCTTTGGTGGCGCTCTCACCGGGAAGACGACGATGGGATTCGGTGGCGGCGACGGCGCTCTATCCTCCATCGTGACGTGCCAAGATTGTGGGAACAAGGCGAAGAAGGACTGCGTCTACCGGCGGTGCAGGACCTGCTGCAAGAGCCGGGGTTTCGACTGCCCTACCCACGTAAGGAGCACGTGGGTCTCCGCCGCGCAGCGCCGCGAGCGCCATGTCTCGTCCTCCGCCGGCAACGACGGCGGCGCCGGCGGCGAACCCGGGTCGTCCGCCTCCACCTCCACCACCAAGAAGCCGCGGCTGGTCTCGTCCAACGACCAGGGCGCCATCACCAACACCACATCCACCTCCAACACCACCACGCCCCCTCGCAGCTTCGAGACCTCCTCCAGTCAGCAAGGTAGGGTTGTAGTTCTTCTTTTACTTCGGAGGATCTTGTTGCTCATCTGTTCTTCCGCTATTGTTGCAGAAGGGAGCTTCAGGGACGGCCTTCCAGGGCAGGTAACCGCGCCGGCGGTGTTCAAGTGCGTGAGGGTTACGAACATGGAGGACGGGGAAGATGAGTACGCCTACCAAGCGATGGTGAGAATCAGTGGCCATATCTTCAAGGGCTTTCTCTACGACCAGGGCCCGGCTGAGGACACGGCCGACGCCGCCAATGACGACGGCCGCGGCAACAGCGACACCAACAACCGAATCGGCGGCGGCATCCCCAACATCTCCGAGCTGCACCTCGGCGGCTATGGGCGGGGTGGCGGCGCCTCCGATCTGTACGCCGCCGGACTCGGCGGCGGCCTGATGGGAGGTACACCCTATGGGAAACCCATGAACTGAAACGCCTCCTTTTTCCCAGGCCGCCGCAGATTATCTATTGAAGTGATTTCTTCTCCTGTATCTTTGGATTATCCACAGAAGGTGCATGGAGTTTGAGAAACCTTTAGACGCTCTTCATGTCCTCCCTCTCCTGCTATTAGTTACTACCCAGCTGTTCTCGCCTCCTGAAAATGATAAAAACGATTCCTTTCCAGTGTTAATCATCATCTCCATGGTCGGTTTCGGTGTTTGGTCTCTCCGGTGCTCGACGTGATGGAAACTCGTCTTCGATTCCGTTTTACCCTGTCCTCATGCTCTCTCTCTCTCTCGCCGTTCAAAATACTGTTATAGGCAGTTGCACCTTGAGATCTGTTTGTTTTTCTAGTTTGCTGAAGACCGATTGACTTTCCCTGTGCAGAACCAGCACAACCTTCCAGACGTCTTCTCTATCTTTCTCTCTCTCGTTCTCTCTCTATCTCTACGCTCTTACTCCCTCTCCTCTAATGGCCGCCATCCCCTCTTTCATTTTCTGTGGGGTGGAGACTGTTCACAGTATTATATTCTCATGTCTATGTGAGTTTAATGGGTCTTATATTTGTCATCCTCAATGGATTTTAATGGTTTCTTCCGACTAATATCCTATATTTGTCATCGAACAGAATGTTCTTCAAAGTTGACAATCCCTTGTATTCTACAGTGTGCTCAAAAGACGAGCCAAACAAAGATTAAAAAAATTATGTTAGAAGTTCATTAAACTCTCTCCAGCACAGTTTTTCCGGCACACCATCGACTGTCGTACTACAGACTCGCCAGGCTGTAAATTTCAAGGGGGTACATTCCGTTTCATATTCTTCTGAGATAAATTCAGAGAACTTGACGATGATTTTGTTTCTCTGCGGTATGGTATTCCATCTTCTTTCCTGCTTGTTATTTACAAAAGCTCCATATTTGGTTCGTGGAGAACGGCCGCTCTTGGCGTTGGATGTGGTTCAGTCATGGTCTTTACGCTCGGTTGAAATGTCTACAGCCTCGTGAGCTTGCCCTGCGAGATTTTTTCCAATTTACTGTTGGATTTGATGTGACAGATATACTTTTTTTATCATTTTATTGGTATTTTCCATCGAAACGTGGGGGTTGTTCAGAAACGATGACTATTTAGGTAATTTATTTGGATTCTTGTACCTGAAATGCCAAGAGTCTTAAGATAAATTCACTATTTATTTTCATGTGTGCTAATTATAACTTGCTGCTACCAAAGCTGGGAAATGTCTTAAATCAATGTACCGTGTTGAATCAATGAATCCGCTTTATTTTTTGAATACCATACAGTTGATGTTTCATGCTCACAAAATGGCTCTGGAGCTTTCATGCCGTTGTTGCTGGGGAGTCGAACTTAGTTCATCGCGTCATCAGTTTCCTTGTATGGTCAACCGTTGTTGCTGGGGAGTCGAACTTAGTTCATGCCGTTGTTTCATGCCATATCTAGACATGTTTCTGGGAACTACGGTAAATGGCTTGAATCATTAAAGAACGATCCGAAACCCAAGTCCCTGCCATCTAAGCTGTGCAGTTTCTTTCGATATTCCGCTGTAAATTGTACAGTTTTCTTCTCAGTCTCTTTATCCTTTGGTTATGAGCTGCAAGATGTGATTGGTCAATACCCAGAGGAAACCCATTTTGAAAATATGAACTTCTACGGCTAATTCTTCAGATCTTTAGACGATATGGTTGGAAACTTTCCTTTCATACTGATCGATTCATACATATCTTCGCCTAGATGATGTTTTCTGTACTGTGGAATTCTCTGCGCATGATTGGTTACTTGTGTGGAACTTGTGAAGAAAAAAATGGAACTTATCATAGTTCTTCTGAAATTTATTTCTCGTTATAGCTTTCCTCGCGATAATTCTGTGAAGCATTGGATTATTCCTCGTTGTTCTATGTGGAGCTGCGAGTCTCTCACCCAAACATGATCTACCCTCCTGATTGTAATGGAAAGCTTGGACTCTGTTGAAGATTTCTTCAGGTTTGTCATGCTTTTACTCTCTCCGTTGTGGCAAAGTAGCGAAGTGGGACTGTGCCTGTGCTTGTTGTATCAGATGATACAACGAATTGCCACCATCTGGAGAAGGTTTGGACTTTGTTCTGAAATTTAACTGGGTATTTCGCAAAGGTGCCGATATGTCTGCACTCCTAACTGTATCGAATGATGGAATCTCTGGGGGGGTGTTACAACATCGTGCTATTCTTCACTCTTCGATTCTATTTCACACAGAAACTCATGAATCTTAATCCATGCTGTACATTCATACCAAGCTCTTGGTATAAACTCCGGAGCTTGCAGTTTTGGCATGCGACAGGATGTTTCTCTGAGGAAATTTCGCGGCACCATTGCCGATTTATCACTGCACTCATGTTGACTATTGTATGATTTTGGTGATGTCTCTATGGTTCTATTTCTTACTCATCTTTGCTGCGGGGAGAAGGTTTCAGGGTTTGAACTGTGATGACAGCACTTGTTTTCTAGAGGGTTATTCCTATCATGCGGTGCAACAGCTTTGTTTTTCTCTCTAGATGTGTCATTTCATGCTTTTCTCTTCTGGGTTTAATTCGGTTGGTGAACTTGGTCATGGAACAATATTGTGCCATAAATTTGCTTGGTATGATATCTACATGGCTTCTTGTAAACGACTCGTTTTGTACGTTTTGTTGAGCAACTGTTTTATTTTATAGTGCGATGGCCGAGAAAGCTCGTAATGGCTCAAACGGTTAAGGCTGGTAGTATGAAAAAGTCCATGAAGGCTTTTTACTTGTATGATTTTGCTCCGTCAAGAATCAGTACAAAATATATTGCAGACTATTTTTCTTGTTTGGTGATTCATTAGTAAACGCTTTTGAATGAAGATCCCAACGGAAGTTGTGTTGTGATACAAAAGATCATGTATGGTGGAACCTATCTTATGTCTACTGATCTCGATGTGTGTACTTATCGCGAAACTTTGGCATGGCACATCTTGAGGTGGAAGAGAAAAAATGATAAATACACCAATATCAACACCTTCGAACAGCCATGCAGTTTATCATATCCAATATGGGAAAACTTTGGCTCTCAATGCTTGGCAACAAGGTATAAGAGGTTCATTCTTTACATGAAGGAATCTCGTCAAAGGGGGAGGGGTGGGGTCTCACTTCTAGTTGCCCATCCCTAGTGCCATGTAACGGTTCATTAGAGGGATTCCTGCTACACCATTAAGAGATGCTCTTGTTGAATTGAATATCCCATTATAATAACATTGTTAATTTGTGGTAAATGTGTTATCCAGTTATAACTTTGAGTCACCACCCGTGCTAGCTTGATGTTCTTCAACCTTTTCGCTTGACAATTAGTTCCATGCAATGGGGTGTGTACCAACATCGTTTTGAAGCCATTCGCTTAGAGGTGCAGTGATTTTTCCCCAATAAATTTGATGTTATTTTGAAACTCTTTATTAGCTCGACCCATGAACTCGACTTGGCTAATTACTTTCAATATTGTTTAGTTGGGAGGTTAATACGTGACAATAGATTACTTGATCAAGTTTGTACCTTAATTAAATACTTGAAATCCGAATTTAAAGCTCTTGATCAAGTCCAATGCTAGAACAATAACTTCTCATCAATAGCATTAGAGAGAGAGCGAGTGTATGCGTGAGAGAGAACCCTAAGAGATTTATTTCTCATTAATAGCATTAACATCCATTATATTTTTTTATTTCTTCCAAGGAGGCAAGTTCCCTTTGGGAGTCGCTTGGCACAATAATATATTAATTAAAGTCCTTGTAGGACAGTTATGTTCTAGTATATTTTGCAGATGTGGCTTGAATTTGTCAAATAATGAAGATGGCATACAACAAAGGCCATTAAGATGCGCAAAGGTTATTGAGATCCTCTATTCCAACTTTCCAACGAACAATTTAGGTCAACATTCATCAGAAAGCATGAGGGTTAATTTTATAGTACTGTTATGGAATAAGAGTAAGAAACTAAAAGAAAACATAGTAAGAAACCGGCTGAAAGATGAAAAATTAAGAAATACAAAGATATAATGTATTTCTAATCTTACTTCATTAGTAGTTACACTATTTCTCTTATTATCATGAGCTGTATGTTGAGATTGTCTAAAAGGTGGAATTAAAGACTAAATAATGGAATGATACCTAATGGATATTAATAAAGATTTCTAAACAGGTCTTATTTGCCATAAATTTGACTTGTACGAAAAGTTTGATTTTCATTAGTTATACCTTATTACGTGATTATATCTTCACCTATGATGCGGGATATACTTTGCAAATGCTTAAGAGCCCCTTCAACATAAATTTTTCACTTCATCTTAGATTAAATGTATTATCATCATTTTTTAAAGATAGTTGGTTCTACAAAAATTATTTTGATCATAAACATTGTTATACCTCAAGATGTTTACAACAATATGGTAATCTTCTAGTTGGCAATCATAATAAGATATTTCTCAACCCAATATCCACAGAAATTTGACAAAAGCCTGTTGAGTTTTGGAGCATTTCCAGTTTTGATGTTGTTAAAATACTTACGAGGGTAAAATAATACAAAAATTTAGGTTTTCTTTACAAAAATAGTGACAAAATATATCTATTACCCTCATTGAAGTCTGAAATAGTTCTATAACGCTTTGATCTATTGTGACTCCTTTTCATCTTACAAAAATAGCTAACTTATAAGTTGAATCACTTTCTAAGATGACATTATATATATATATATATATATATCTATATATATATTTATCAAGAAAGTCAACATATAAGGCATAATAATAATTTTATGGTACACATTTATGTAACCTCTAATGTATTACAATATAGTTTCCTTTGTAATTAAACTTTTATTCCTTATAAAGATAGCACTTGTAGTATGTGAGTTGACTCAGTTAGTAAGAAGAGGGCTTAACACTTTCAATGTAGAAGAAAGTATATCGACCTAGTAAGAAGAAATCTCAACAGTCATACTGTCTAAGAAATCATTTAAAAGAAGTGAGTCAACTCACCTTTGATGATAGATTTCTCAACATAGTGAGAAAAACACAATAGGAGAGTAAAATCATATTATTGTAATGCAAACATATTCACATATTGACATGACCCTTCAATATTTCTACAATATCCCTCCATCATGATTTTAAAAAATAATTTTGAACTAACTAAATTTATTTCTTTTTCTTGCTACAAAGTGAATTGATTCACTTAGTAAATACATTATAGACCTTTTATAAATCTAAAAATTCAAGGAGAAAATTTCCTCATATTGGGAGTACTGCTCCAACATTACATGAGAGATTAGATACTTTATAATAAGTAATTTAATTTCTTTCTAAAGTATTTTAAGCCTGTCAAAATATAAATAAACATGTGCACTTTTGAGCCCACACATTCATGCTTAAAGACACGATGTGACAAATTTATAACCATTGGTTATTTGATTCTTTCATTTGAGCACTTGATATGCTCTAGCTTACTTAGAGCCATCAACTTAGTAGAGAATAATTGGGTGCTAATTTAGTTTAGCCTTTCAAGTTGTAAATTTAAAATTTGAGTAACACAATATAACTTGAGGTACTTAGATCTAGTGGAGATTGTCTAGGTTAGCTGAAGCTTTGGCATTTAACATTTCTACTAACATTAGTTAAATAAACCTAAGGATGTAGTTTTTGAGTGTGTATCAAGTTTGTACAATTCTTGGCTCTATCAATTAGATAGGAGTACAAAAACATACCTATTTTCTTGGTTTAATCTGTAATCTCGAAATCAACATATTCTCTTTACATATAACTTGTATTATATTTTCATATCGAAGTTAGTAAGCCACATGAGACATTTGTATTAATGCCTGTCCATTTTGTTCCATATTAGTCTCAATTGGGTTCCTTCAATTTGATACAAAACTGATGAGAAATGTTTTAAGACTTTAAATTAAACTATTTTAAAATTTCTTAACTAAATTTCCTATTTAGTTGAAAATCATCAAGACAAAATAGTCATGGACCTTGTTTCTAAAATTTCGAGAATCATGACAATTAAAAGTTTAAATAAATGATACTTATGATATTTTTTAAAAGTTATAATTTATTAGAAAGGCTATCCAATTTCTTTAATAAAAAAAAACTTATCATAGAGATTGGAAGGAATTAGAGAAGTCTAAGAATATTATCAATCCATAAATAACATTGTCTATTGTAAGAGGAAAGCTCTTGCTGGACAAGATGTGCCTTCAATTTTTTGGACATCCAATTGTGTCATAACTAAAATGAGTAGTATTACCATCATCATCTAATACATTTGACCTTGCTAAATGATATTTCAGGTGCCATAAAAATATTGTCAGCATCATGAAGATAAGATATTTTCCAAATTCAGATTTTTTGAATGTAAATAATATCTTTGAAATCAACTTCATTGGAGCTCATGCCCCTAAGACACATATGTAATGATCAAAATTAGATCTAAAATAGGAAACTCTAAAAAAATAACAAATATTCATCAAAATCAATCTACATTGGATTTTGATAAATCTGGTAAAACTTTGATAAATCCTTAAACAAAGTGATAATTTATCATTTAAATTAGATTATGAAAATATTAAATAACTTGTATCAACAAGATATTTATATCATCTATGGCACACAAAACTTTGATTCCTCACTTGCTGATGTAGTTAGGCTATCTTAGTAAATTTTCAACGGTCAAATGAACTGGAGATACAATGTTACATAATATCCTTTATGATAATACTTCAGTAGGATGATGTATGTAGGGCTATACTAGAAGAGATGATCTTTATATATCCTAGTAGAATCATCAACTCACTATTTAACGTTCAAAACTCATTTGAGATACAATGCCTGCAATCTTGAAGAGCAAGGATGTACATAATAAGGACGTGAAACTTCTGCACAAATTGTATAATATCATTATGTGTTTTTTTTATCTTGAGTAAAACACATCTTGTACAAGAAATCAAAGCTCATGAAAAAGAGTCATATGTGGGGAGTGCAGGGGGAAAAGAAGACCACAGGGATTTGAAGTTACACGTACAAAATACCTGAACCTAAGGGAAAAATATACATGAATATATCAACATTTTGAAGTTCAAAGAGAACTAAGTTGAAATACCTGAACCTAGGTAAATTAATTGTGATTATTCACGGGATAATGGTGCATATTGAATAATCTCATGAGAGTGAAGTATCAAAAATATACATTGATGAATAATGTTCTTTTAATAATACGACATATAATTAATGAGGTAAATAAGTCATGCCATCAATGAAAGAAAAATAAACTTACTCAACAATTAACGTTCTATACTAGGTTTACTAAAATATATCAACATGGCAATAAATTCAAATGAAGACTCAAAAAACATCATGTTTTTATTGTAATGGAAATAACAATAGTTATTATTGAAATCGAAATAGTATAACGAAGATGAAAAAATAAAGTGGCATAGTTGATTATCGTATGTTAGGATCAAGGGAGCCAAAAAGGGGACCAATGAGTGGGCTGAGTTGATTTTTTTCAAAAAGATGTAGAAATCAACACAAAAAGAAAAAAAATAGTTTCATATGAGTAGGGTAAGCCAACATAGAGTAGTAAAACATAAACATCAAATTATTATAATGGCTTAGGTTTCCTATTGTACCTTATTCTCTAGAGGCCATGTCTTTGAGTTCTATTATCTTGTATACTGTAAAAAGTTAAATGAAAGAATTCACTGAACTTCACCAGATTCACAAAATTAATAAACTTGAATGCACTCATCATTCAATTTATAAATCTAGGGGTCTGAATTAGTAAAGTTTCACTTGCTTCATATAGATTCACAATCCTAGGAGGCCGAAGATGGTCAACGCATTTTTTTATGTACAGGTTTAGTATGGTAGCTTTAAAAAGGTCAGGAGTGTTTCAAAGAATTGAAACCAATTAAAAAAAGCTTAGGGTTCAAGTTCACGATTTGATGTACCAAGTTTATTGTATAGTTAAACTATATTCTCATTAGATATTGAAATTGGGCATGAACAATTACGTTTAGACCCTGCCGAGTTTAGAAGCTAAAATGTACCCATATGAAGTCCGTGATAATGGAAAAGCCTCTTTCTATCCCCTAATAAAGAGAACTCGAATGGACGCGCCGGTGGACCTCTGCCGGCGGCCGTTACTTTTCTCTCTCTGGGCCCGGAACTGCGGAGGTTGTTGTCGTGATTCTTAAATAACATTAACTAAACTCGCCGTCTTTTGTTGAGACCAGACAAAAATTCTCACTCTCCGGGGACGCTCCAAAACCCTCCCAAAACGCTCGCTTGCTTCCCTACTCGTCGGATGTGACAGAAGAGAACAGAGAAGCGGCTCATACGACCGTCTTGGACCCTCCCTGGCCCTCTTTCTCTCTCTCTCTCTCGCTTGCTCTCAGTTCGGGGAACCAGGGCGTTTACAGCGGTCTACAAACATGGGGATGATGGAATGCCCCGTGGAATAGAACGGGGGTTTGGGGCAGCTGTTTTTCTGAAGAAGCGTAGGTAGCAGCTGCAGGAACACCTGGAGGAACAGTGTACCGCTGCAACCAAAGGCGAAGGGAACGCTTTTACAGTCGGGGGGGTTGCTTGCTATAAAGGCGGCAGGTGGAAACAAAGTCCACTCTCTCTCCTACTTCTCTCTCCTCCCTCGGCATCGTTGCGGCGTCCCCTCCCGGGCGGCGCTATGGCGGAGTACGACGGCTCAGCCACCATCAGCCTCTCCCGCACTCCAAGAGCGACCGACTCCGAAGACGAGGACGGTCCCCGCCGCACCATCTCCCTCGCAAGCGGCGGCGCCGCCGGCGTCGGTGGCGGAAACGGGGACTCTCCAGCGACTGGGTCCGCCTTATCTGCACCGAGGAAGCCTAGGGGCCGCCCACCGGGGTCGAAGAACAAGCCCAAGCCGCCTGTTGTGATCACGCGGGAGAGCGAGTCGGCCATGCGGCCGGTGGTGCTCGAGCTCGCCGCGGGCGCCGACGTGCTCGAGTGCGTCTCAGGCTTCGCGCGGCAGCGCCGCGTGGGAGTCTCCATCATCAGCGGCTCCGGCGCCGTCACCAACGTCACCCTCCGTCACCCGGCTTCACACCCCACCTCTCTCACCCTCCATGGCCGCTTCGACATACTCTCCCTCGCTGGGACCTTCCTTCCGACTAAGCTTTCTTCTCCTTCCTCCTCCCCCGCTCCAGTCGTCAAGTCGCCCTTCACCGTCTCCCTCGCCGGGGCGCAGGGGCAAGTAATCGGCGGTGCGGTGACGGGGAACCTGATCGCAGCTGGGCCGGTGGTGCTTCTTGTGGCGACCTTCGGGAGCCCCGAGTTCCATAGGCTACCAGCTCCCTGTGCCGAAGAGGAGGAGGGGGATACGGCCGCAGGAGTAGCAGCAGCAGAGGAATCCAGGCCACTTGTGGCAGTGTCAAACGAGCCGCCAGTTTCGTCGGGGGGAATGTCCTACGGCAGCGGCGGCGGCGGCGGCGGCGGCGGCTCCATCAGCTGCCAGATGCCTGTGGAAGTCCTGCCGTGGACTGGGCACGCCGAGCGCGCCACTGGGTCTCACTTCCGCCACCCCCATCACCACTACTGATTCGAATCTTTACACCCTCTAAAGAGAGCAGAGAATAACAGTGAAGAGGAGCAAAAACACCGGGGAGGGCGAGAAGCTAGAAGCAGGCAGCGATGGAGGATGACGATGGTCGGCCGCGAGGAACGCCCCGGCATGATTTCTACTTCTTTCTGTTGCGAGCTGGATTTTTTGAAGACTTGAATCTCACAGTTACCTTCGCCCCGAGCCTTCACCATGCAGGTGGAAGAAGAACGGAAGGGTAAAGCGGGGGAGGGATGATGGCTTTCTTCGTCTTCCGCTGGTGCAGTTACTGTTCTGGAGTCGTCTTCTTAGTCTTTTGGGTCCCTTTGTCGGAGGAGAATAGTGGCTTTGACGGTGTGTGCGGTCGGTTCGAAGCCCCCAGCTGTTCTCTGCAAAGATCTCTGCTTTTGTTTCTTCTTCTTTCCTTCTTCTTTCTTCTTCTTCCTCAGCTGCTCTTTATCTTTTCCCTCTTCTCTGCTCATCTCGGGAAGCGCTGAACTCCCTGCTCGCAAATACGGTCCCAGGAAGAGGAGGGTCGATGCCCACCGCGGGTATTGGTGAGTTGAGCGAACCCTCTTCTCTTCCCCTCCTCGATTCTTCTCTCTTCATTACTCACGTTGAGCCGCCGAAAGACAGCATATCGTCCGTCGGCTTAGTCTTTTTGGCGATTAATGCGGGTCTGCGATATGCGGATGGCGTCACGCTCTCTCTCTCTCTCCCTCATGCCTGGTCCGGAGCTGCCACTATTCGTGAGATCGGCGGAGAAATACTGGGTGTGGTTTGGTGGGGCCGGGTCCCGTCTCCTGTTCAAGCTTTGACATCGAGGCTCGCGAGCTTCTTGTTCTGGTTCCGGCAAGCGGGATAAAGATGATAGCCAGGCTTTCCTTCACGGTCGCATCTTTTGCCTGCTGCAGCAGCATAGGTCTGAATTCTCCTCGTGGCCGTCAAAGTCATGAGCCGTCATAGAGAGAAGTAAAGAGATAGATAGTTGGAGAGAAAGAGAGAGTGATTATGATGTTGACGAAAAGAGACCAGGAGCAGCCGATGGAAGCCAGTCAGGATTTCTTACAGTATCTGCTAAGCGTGTTATTCGAGCGACTGATTGGTGTGTGTGGGGAGAGGGAAGAGAGAGAGAGAGAGAGAGGATATAAAGCCGGGCAGAGTTCCCCTGACAAACTTTTGCTTTGGCTACGGCAACCCTTCGGATCTCGTCACTTTCTTCTGCCCACCGCCTGGCGCGTCGTACTCACGTAATCCAGCGCGCCTGCCGGAGATTTGACACCACCAAGCGGCAGCCCGAGCCTCCGGTGATGCAACGATATCCAGCATCCTCCATCCCCCCCCCCTCCCTCTCTCTTTCGCCCTCTATGCTGTCTCTCTATCTCCTCGGCAACTTACCCTCCTCCACCTCTACTCTTCTCCCTTCGATACCAAAGATATCTCCTCGGAGATCTGCCAAAGCGGGTGCCCTCGCCAGGGGTTGTTCCTGCGAGTTGGTGGCTTCTGTGAGTTTGTCCTGAGCCTAGGTCGCCGTCGCGAGGGCCATGGTGGAATCGAAATTCCTCCGACAGATGTCCCTTTCCGCTGGTTCGTACTAAACACACGGTTGCCGCTCAACTAGTCATCCCGCTCTCCATGAATTCCTCCGGACACCAAAACGTGGTTCCTCGCTGCTCTCCATACACAGCCTTGGTCTTTCTCCGCGTGCATCACATGGAGTGACAGAACGAGCGATTGGAAAGGGGGGGGGGGGAGAGAGAGAGCGAGAAAGCAAGCCCTTAAAGAACTGTTACTCATCAACAGCATTAATAACCGAAGAGTTTTCTAGAAACCCAGCCTTGTACTTTGTTTGAATGTGGTTCCCATTCAAAACAGATCCTTTGGTCACCATCTTCACATTACGTCATTGCCAGGCCTTGATGAGTGACGAAAACGAAAGTTCTAAAAAGGACCCGTTTGGTCGGGACGGGGAATTCTGTTGAAATGGCGGTTTATATAGGTTCTGTTCTCCATTGGATACTTCATGGTCTTCTCCATTGAAGTATTAATGGCGCATCAACTACTAGTCCTGTGCTAGCTGAATAACCTTCGTTTGCTACTGCACACCCTTCTGTTTTCGTGCATTCTCTTTCCTCTGATGGCCAGAGAAGACTGTCATGTTGTGTCGTCATCACCAACTTGCTGAAGAATACTACTTCACTCGTATGCAATGGATATGAAGATTCTTCTCGCAGCTTACACCTAGGAAAATGAAAAATTATCTTCAATAAAGTTTTCAGAAGGAATATATGAAAATATTCTTTATTTTTTCTATTAACTTAGTTAAAAATATTTAATGTAGTTTCCCCGCCTTGCTTCCCCGAAGAGAGAAAGACGACAATACCTCGATACAAATAAATATTCCAAATGGATTCTTTTTTTCTCAAGATTACAAAACTAGATTGTAAAATAATATTTTAGATGAAAATTTGTGCTTAACCGTACGTATATTTTAGATTGTACGTTTTCCCCAGAAGTCAACGTTTGTTTGGAAAGATTGACTGACATAATCATTATCTTCATTATGGAAAACATGATCCCTCTATCATGTTGTGAATTATAGGGGAAAGCAAAATATCGAACCTCTCTTCAACTGCCCCTCCGCACTTTCCCCCCCAGTGCTCTCCAATGTGAGTCTAATAAGCCTTTGAAAAATGTTCCATATCTTCATCATCCTACTCTCCAGCAAACGACTCCACCACCATGAAACTTACGAAAGGGAATCTCGAAGAATTCAAACTTTCAATACTTTTCATGAATTGTCTTGTAAATGTTCTCCATGATTGATATCAGATAAGGGGATAAAAAGATGAAGCACCTTGGTCAATTTATCCACTATTTGTAGAATCGTTAACATATATAATTGTATCATTCCCATAATAGGAATCCCTCAAGCTAAATTTGGTCGACAATATATGCGACTCAACTTTACTGATTCAAAACAAATTCTTTCTTTCCTTTCGTCTTTATCTAATCAACAGTTTTCTACAAAATCTGAGTGAAGGAAAGATATATGTTCATTTATCCATGAAGAACTTCTCTAATACTTCATGCATAGGACGTAGTCACCATCGAACAGTGAGTGTATAGTTTCAAATATCAATAATACGTATAATACCTGGCGTGTAAACCTTGTGATCCTTATCCGCGTCTCACTTGAATTGTCGCGTATGGTGTATACGCATAGATCGAAGCCCACATAAAGTCACCCTTCTCTCTCAGAAGTCAACAAAATGTCCTATTGCAGACTATCCACGAGGACTGCCTATTTGGTGACAATTTTATCCATTGAGAATTCTTCATATGAACTGCAGTTATGTAATGATACTGGGAAATCCTCTAAAACCATCAGATTGTGTTAGAACTCGAACCATCCGGCACTGGTCCTATTATTGAACAGTTCTAACCACGTCTCGGTCTGTTTAATGAATGGTTTTGTCAACCGAAACCACCAAGAGCGACAAAGAAGACAGACGAACAACTTTTAGAGTTCAGACTAGATTAGTCTTCAGGTCCGGATTTACATGAAACCCTTGGCTTCATCACGGGGAGGGTGTGAAGGAGGGAGGGAGACGGCAGAGGGGGAGAGAGAGAGCGGGGGTGGAGAGAGAGAGAGAGAGAGAAGGCTGCGGAAGCACTACCCGGTGGCTTCATGTCAGGTGCCCTTCAGGTGCTGCAGCGGAGGCCCGGCGGCCCCAAGTCAAGCACGCGCGCCTGGGAGGGTTCCTCTGCTGCTCTTGGCTACCAGCCTTTTCTTTCCATCTCCTCTCTTTCGTTCATTTCCTTTCGCTTTCTTGCCTGCTCACCGTGTTTCTGAAGCTAAAATTACTACCGAGAAAGCTGCACCTTCATCACTCTCCACAACCCTCTCTACCCCTTAAGCTTGGCACGGCCAGTGTTTGAATGCGTCCTTCAAAATTGTAGGCTGTTAGCACACTCCAAGCAGGGGTTTGATAAGCTCAGATGGCTGGCTGAGCGAGAACGTGAGGCACGGTTAGGGATAAACAGAGATTAATTCGCGCTAACTTATTCGACGAAAAAGGTATAATAGTGGAAGTCAGCCCACTTAATTTATTCCTGCTGTCATCAAATTAATATCTGATGACAGCAGGAATAAATTAACCCAAAGTTCACCTATGAGAGAGGGAGAGAGAATGGGTTCTTAATTTGAAAGTCGATAAATTAATATCTGGAAACGAGGGGAGATAAACTTAGTTAATCCTAACCGGTTTTCATGCCTCTTGTAAGAGAACTCCCGCATCAAAGTAGATTAGAAATATAAGAGAGAGAGAGAGGGGGGGGGGAGAGAGAGAGAGAGAGAGGTTTTGAAGCTGATTCATCCATCAGATCACACGTCACCACTTCGCCCGACCGATGGGATGGGGATCTCCCCTGAAGCTCGACCACGCCATGGGGAAGCTGCTGCTGCTGCCGCCGCCGCCGACGCCTCCCTCATGATATGACCGTGATCTGGCTTGCCCGTGGGGGGCGGGTGTGGAATGATGAGCAGACGTTAGCCAGAAGCCCGAAAGAACGATGGGGAACCCAGTGTCCCTGATTGTCTTGTCCGGCTCCTGATGGGGGTGCAAACGATGTCTCTTCTTGACAATATTTATTTTATGATAAGATTCCTATTGACGATTAGCTGTTAAAACATGGTCAACACGGGCTCCTTCAGTATTCAACGACAATCATTCCGTAATTAACGGCCCATTGTACTGTCAGTAATAGGACGAAACATTCGCAAAACTTGTGAAAGCACAGCTATTCGAATAACTCAAACATAAATTTTCTCAATGTTGGATGTGAAATCATAATAAAACTTCTGGCATATTATGTGATTGTACATAGCAATTAGGAAATACGACATTTGATAAGCTATAAAAAGGAAAAGTTCAGATGATTTTTTTTTATCAGAAGAATATTTATTCTAATGATTTAACAAGTTTAATGACGCTGATGTGTAATTGAAAAACACAAAGAGGTTTGCTACAACAGTCTAAAACTGGTGACGTAGTGGACTAGACGATTATTGTGTTGCTCAAACTTTTATTTATGCCTTTCCAGTCACATCATTCCACAAATTTCTTGTGCTTGAGCTATAAACCGATGTTGAACGCCAATTGTTTCAAGCTGATGTCTACATGTAGATCTTTCCAAGATTAGGCAATACATGTAATATTCTCCGTTAAATACTCTTATTTACTATATTTCTATTAATATGCTTGTGCCTTGGTTTTTAAATATGGTCATCAATATGTTATTCAAGGAGTTAGTTGACGGACATGCTCAAGCAAGTTGATTTCTCTCGCCTTCTTCTTTTTTGAATAATTTCGTATTTAACTCAAAATAATTACCAAATAAGTATGGGAATTAACAAAATAAACTTAAGTACCCATGTCACAGGAAACTAGTAACGTTTACATATTTGGCAACACTGTCGTATGTTTGTCTATTTAACTCAAGAACTAATATAAAATATTTAGAGTTTGTACACTTAAATGAATTAATCTACAAACACAAGTGCCGGACTTTTTGAAGACACCTCATCACATGTTGACCTCTTGATAGCTTCAGTGAAAAAACTTTAAGATCATGTTAAAAGTATTAGGAAACGAGAAACTCAAAAGACAATGAGTAGATTCAAATTTACAGACGACCTAACACGTTAATATCGATATGTGACTATCGTGGCAATAAGTATGCTGGGTAGATTTTCTAGCGAGGTTTTGAGGTGTGGTCCACAAAAAAAATAAAAAGCGATCGATGGTGGTTTCTTCACGTTGGCGTACAAATATCTAGTTCCAGTGGTTCACGGTAGATACAGTGAGGGTAAAGAAATCAATATGTATGCTAGGAATAATATATTTTCATCAATTATCGTCGAAACCCTACATCATAGCATGGTTTTGGATGCTCTCCTGAGAAGTATCGCCCAGGCGAGTATCCTGTAAAATAGGAAGAACCCCAGCATGATACAGACATTCATCCACCTGGTGTCCCTCTCCAGTCCCCTCATCCTCAGGACGTCGCCGCCGGTGAGAAAGCACTTGCGAGAGTTTTCTTCGCCGCCGTCCTCCCAGGAGAAGCACTTGCTCCTTGCGTCCCAGTATTCGTTGACCAACATGGCGTCCAAGGGGTACCGGTAAATGGAGATGTAGTACATGTACATCCAGTACCAGGGTATGCTGTCCTTGGGGATGAAGTAGCCGGAGAAGAGGAAGAAGATCGCGAGGAAGACGCACAACAGAGAATTCCCCAGTATGAAGTCCGGCGAGACAGCCCCAAGGAAGAGCACCACAGAGCTGGCCGTGAGCATGATAAGCCAAACCATGAAGGTGAAGAAGAAGAAGGCCCCAGAAGAGGGGTTGAGCCCCACTAGCCAGTAAACAGGAGCAGAGAAAAGCAGGGAGACTACGAGAAGGAAGGGTAGGAAAACTAGGGCGTTGGCGGTCATGTAGGAAGAGAGCCTGTACATTCCCCTCGAGGCCTCCCTCATCAGAACCCGCCTCTCCTGGAGGAATATTGGAAGACCCTCAACAGTAGAGGAAAGGAGGAAGCTGAGGGTGAAGGCGAACAGACCGAGTCGCTGAGCGACGCCTGCGGCGTCGGCGCTCACACCGAAGAAAACGCTGCCGAGGCCTATGCCACCCACCACCGCCTGCAGCGTCCTCGCCAAGAACAGCTGTTTCGTGCGGTACATAACCTTCCAGAACCTCCAGCAGAGGAAGCTCATCTCCTCCCACCAGCCGCAGTAGCCGCCACCGTCGCTCCTCTCTGGCGGATCACCGGCGGCCACCCTCCTGGACCAGGGCTCTGCGTAGCATTCCTCCAGCCTCGGCAATATCTCCATGGCGAACTCGACGGGGTTCACTTGCACCGGGATCTTATACCCCTGCCTGGCGATGGCTTCCTCGAGGGAGCTAAGGTTACCGAGATGGGCCACAGATCCTTGAGAGAGAAATAAGAAGGTCGAGATGTAGTGGAGGATCCTGTAGCTCGGTTGGTGGATGGTGAGTATTAGAATCTGGCCTCTCGTCTTCGCCATGGAAGCGAGTAGGTCGATCACCTGCGCTTAATAAACGGTATATGAATATTTACACAAAACTATGTATCTAGACACGCCAGCATTGTTTGTTCTCAGCATTACGAACCTGAAGGGCCGATTTGCTGTCGAGCCCTGACGTGGGCTCGTCGAGGAGAAGCACAGGGGGATTGTGGATCATGTCGACGGCAATGGACACCCTCTTGCGTTCGCCGCCGGAGATCCCCCTCACCTCGTCGCCGCCGACGTAGCTCTTCGCCACGCTCGTCAACCCCAACTCCTCCATCAGGCTGTCCACTCTCTCCCTCCTCCCCTCGCCGTTACAACCGCGAAGTAGGAACTTTGAGGTGAACAAGAGAGTCTCCTCCACGGTGAGGAGGGGGAGAAGGTTATCATCCTGGGTGACGTACCCACACAACTTTCGAAGCTGCGTTGGGCTCATCACCCGGTCGTTGAAGGAAACGCTACCTGGGTCGGATCCTGAGTTTCTCAACCGGCCGGAGACGAAGCGGAGGAGGGTCGACTTGCCTGCGCCGCTGGGACCCGCCACAGCGAGGATCTCCGATCCCCTGGCTGTGAAGGACACCGACTTCAGTATGTTCGCCGCCTTGGGCATCTGCCCCGGGCGGCGGAATCGCGCAAGGGCCCCCCCGTTGGCGGCGCATCTGTCGACCGTGTAGCAGACGTTGGTCACCTTCAGCCTGTTCACAGAAATAAGGAGACGACGGAGGGATGGAGACGGAAGGGCAGAAGAAGTGGTTAACTCGTCGCAGGCGGCGGCGGGAGAGCCGTGAGGCGGGGTAAGGAGCTTCTTGTCCTCCATCTCTCTACGAGATAGACGAAGAGACAGACAGAGAGAGAGTAAGGGAGAGGTGATGCTGGGAAGAGGGGAGGTGAGGACGATGGAGGTTGGACCTAATGAACCTACCGAGCCCGCGGCTGGCGTGGGGCGGGGAGAAATCGGTGGAGTTTGGTCAGCCGTCAGAGCCTTTGACCCCTTCAGTCTGCGGACATCTTCCTGTTTAGGTGCAGCGTTTGTTGCACTTAATCTTAGCTACCACTTTCCCCAAGGGAACACTTAATGAAGTTGGTCGAAATCTCCCAAAAGTATTCGATGCATATTCTATTGGCTTAACAATCGACTATATATTTAATGGAATTGACTTTTTCATCAAGGCTATGCATTAGAAAATTGGAAGAAGACATCGTTTTCTAGTGCTCAACCTTAAATTCCATAACATCGCGACAATATGACATATTTTATGCAGTACTGTATGTTTACCTTTCGTAGGATCCCTTTAAAATTGTTAGTGAATCAAGTAATATTGCGTGGTTCAGATTGAATCCTTGCAAGCCTTCTGCTCATTTGATAAAAACATGATGCAAAAAATCAAACCAACTCCCTCATGCACATGATCATTTGATCAAATTGGACATGCAAGTATTATCACCACAAAAAAAGGGGCCTAAATAACTGATAGAAGTCCAGTTTATCCTTAACAAATAAGAGATTTCCATGGAATAGCAGGAGGTAGCTTCAAGAATTTAATTCCTGAAATAATTTAATGTTATTTAATATGAATATATTTGAACGTGAGCATGTATGGAATGGAATTAAATTATATTAGTATATTATTAAAAAGATACAGTGCTAAAGCCCATTTGACCCAAAAGATTATGATTGTTGATCTCTCCCACCCATGAAGTTCAACATATGTTTCACTGTGCTTGGGCCAAAGACTGAGCCCATACAAAGCATGGGCAAGGCTTGGCCAGTGTTAGTTTGCACCTATTCTAAATTAAATCCATGGAAAACCTTGTTTTAAGTGTCATCCTTTATCCTCTATATGGAACAATTTTCTAAAACATCATTTGAGAAACACCTCCACTTAGTATGACTTAGAGTTTTGACTTGTCGTTTGATGGAAAGCCTTCGATAAAAACTTGCAGCATTAATAGATCAACTTTCATGAATATTAAAATACTCTTCTTTTTTTAATGAGCACATTTTTTTTATGTCAGTCATATTGAAACCTAGCTTTGTTGCATTGCCGTACAAAAACATTATCAGAGATTTAGTCACTAAAAACATTCATCCATGCCTTATTATATTGTTATGAGAGAGTAGTTTTAGAAACAATAAATTTCTCTCTTTTATGATGGTATGCACGTCTCATCTCTTGAATTGTTCTTAATCTAATTTTTATTTCATAAAAAACCCAAAAAATAGTGACTTACTATTTATATCTTGTTTTGAATATTTTCTAAATCAATACACATTTTTAATAGTAAAAAATTAAATACCCATAAATGTCAACCTTGAATTTGTATATGTGACTATCTACTATTAGTGCTTGTCGTTTCATTCCACTCTTTATTGATATCAAAAACTACTATTACTCAACAAAGTACTTCCCGCTACTGCTGCAACTTTTGTATTATTATTGTAATTGATAAAAAAATCACTATTTTCATTTTTACTTGGTATTGTGCTTCACTCTAATCACTCACTGTTATTGTAATGACCTACCAAGTGTTTCAATTAGCACTCACTAAATTTCCTACAACTGATCAATACTATTATGTATCATTACCTCTTACTATTGTGTACTAACAAAATTATATTTTTTATATATAACTTGTTGGGCCCTACGTAGGTTAGATTTGTTCCAATAGGGGGATGAATTGGTTCTCTAACAGAGTTGGGTGTTTTTGTGTTTTTTAGCTTATTTATCTTTGTTCGATAAATAGTTGGTTAACATAATTATACTTATGCCGATATAGAGTAGGTTGGGCTTACATGAAGAAGTTTGGGTCAACACTAGTTGACTTGAGTAGACAAACTAATTTAAGTTGACCTAGTCAATACACTCAATGTCAAAGCATGACAAATACTATGATTTATTGGGGTTCAACCTTTCCTTGGCAAACGTCCAATTTTCAAGATTCATTCCTTTAGTTTCCACTGTTCTCTCTTAAAGCCATAATTTAAACTTCACATAATGAATAAAATTCACAAGTCTATCTCCCAACACAACACTTAAAGTACTATCTTGCCTTCTTGTCCCCTATTACAAGCACTCTTTAGAGTGGCTGAAGTTCAATGAACTTGCAACTCATTTCAAATGATGAAAATATAAGTCTCTTTAATGTGAAGGATGATTGATCGCTTGAGGAAGCCTTGATGATTGCAATGAAACTTTGAAGAATGATTTGATGGATTTGATCAATTATTGATGTGTGATTTAAAAGTCCTTGCAATAGGCTATTTATGGAGCCCAATAAATTGACTTGAAATTTTGATATCTGAGATTTGATTGGTCAATCTGCTGGTCAGTTTCATGGTCAATTTGTTATTTTGACCAAACTTTCGGCCAAGTTGTGTTAGGGTGAGATTGTTTTGACTTTTCCTTGTCAGAGAACTTTTAGTGTGTTAGACATCTATCATCTCTAACATATCAGATTTTCTAAAGAAAATCTTCTTTTCTCTCTTTACAGATTTCGTTTTAACTTTTGCTAGTCTGAGATACTCTCCTAATTCCTTGATGTGTCAGCACAATTTTTCTATTTTGACACAACCTCTCTTTAGTTCAAGATGGGTCAACACAACTTTTGTGTGTTGACATGAAATATTTTCTTTGTCATTGATTATTTTTTTCAATTTTTTTTCGTTTCTTTTAGTTTCATTTTTCTTCTCAAGTATATGCTTGCTGATATCTCTTTTCTATGTATTAATACTTGAAAAATAGTTTTCGACAACAAAATAATTAGATGTACTGACTTGGATCTTGATCTTTCTATTAGTGTAGTGATAACATAAGAACAATTTTTTTTTTATCTATACATGATTACTTGTTAGCATCAAAATCTTTAACCAAGCACCTCATATGTCTGCTACCATCATCACAAACACCCCTTGTTTTTCACCTATAAATACCACAAAACACATGTGGTGCCTCATTATGGTGATTGTCTATTATCACAGTACCAATTAGTCTTTGTTGACACATTTCATTTTCAATAAACGATCACATCAAATAATTTAGTTCATATTGTCAAAGATTCATTTTTGCACTGAGATTTTTTTTATATCTAATGGTATAACTCTATTTATTTTAATGATTGATACACAAGTTTAAAATGATGTTACATGTCATTAGATCTGTGCACTAATTATCTCTACATAAATATGAAATGATTTTTTATTTAAAATAATTAGGTTTTAATGTTATAAAACGCTATACTCATCTATACATATACATTCACGCATGGATGAACCTCATGATGATTTAATCATATAGATAGAAACCATTATGCAACATTTTTTTAATCAATTAGTGCAACTTAAATTTGACGTATGTTTCTTAGTGGACAGACTTTCAAAAGTAAAGAAAACATTAATCGGAAAAGTCATCGTTCAGAGGATCTGTCGTAAATAAATGGAGAAAGGCGCATGCACGGTAATAACACGTTGTAAATCATCGAAACTTCTCCTTTCGTCTACATTCCAAGGCATACCATCATTATGGTCTAATAATCTCGCTAGAAAGAATATTTCATTCGTCTAATAACAAGATCATTAAAGAAAAACTCGTAAAAACACCTAAAATCTTACTACAACTTTCATTGGTTTAGTAATGTTCTTGCAGTATAAGATCCCAGTTTAGAGTTTAATGGTGTTATCAGTTTGTAAACCGAATATAATTTTTCATTAGTTGTCATTCACAGATTATAGGTTTATGGTTGCCGAGAGGATCAAGGGTAAACTGTCTTTATCGTGGCCAGATCGGCCGGGGAGGCGAACTCCTGTACCTTGTGATTCCTCTGATCGACGTTGCTCTCTCTTTGCCTCTCTCACTGAAGACGGACATAGTCTCCTGTCCAAACCCGTGAGGTGAACGCGAGCAAGCGAGCGCGCGCGAGAGAGAGAGAGAGAGAGAGAGAGAGAGAGAGAGAGAGAGAGAGAGAGAGAGAGAGTGGGGGTGGGGGTGGGGGGGGTGACCGTGAGATTTTTCTAAGAGAGGTCAATCTTATGACAAAACGCCATATTTTTTTGAATGTGCGGGAACAGAATCATACGTTCCTGGCCACCGTCTCTTGTCGCCTATTGGACGGTCCAAGTCCGACACTCTTCTATGTTCTTCCTCTTCTTCCTCGTCGTCAATCTTCTTCCTCCCGACATCTCTTCCCCTCCGGAGAGGGTCGTCAGCGGTGACTGCCGACATTGTTTGACCATCTGGGACAGGTTCAGAATCATAGACTTTTCCAACTCGGACTGGACCCCTGTCCACCACCCATTCCTCTCATTTATGTAGAAGACAATCCCCTTCATCTTCGACATTCCTATCCTCTCTCTCTCGCTCTAGACAGACATCAGGCTATCATGGGCAACTCCCTCTCGCCGTGCCGCTCCTCGGAGAGCAAGGGCGGCGCGGTGAAGCTAGTCTTCTGGGGCGGCGCCACCAGTCTCCTCTCAAGGTCGCAGCTCGCCAGGGAGCTCATCCTCAGCCACCCAGACCACGCCATCTGCCACGCCGACTCCTTCTACATCGGGCGGCCGGTGCCAGCTCTCAGCGCCGCCGACAAGCTGATCGTCGGCCGCTCTTACTTGGTCATCCCCGTTGACCGCCTGCCGCGCCATGCACTCACGGTGGCGTCCCTGAAGGCGCTGTGGATTGCACCGAGCGGGCCCCTTATCGGCCTCGAATCGAGCCCATTGCAATACACGAAGAGCGCCGAGGGGAGGCCGGTGATTAAGGTCTCGCCGGAGTTCATGGCGAGGATCATCTCCGGTGGCGGCGGCAGCAGCGACGGTGATAAGTCCGGCGAGAAGAGCGGCGGCGGCTCGCTCTGTAGCACGCCGGAGTTGCAGAAGCATTATTCTCAGCTCGTTGGGAGTAGGACCCAGCAGTGGTCGCCGAAACTGAAGACCATCTCCGAGACCAAGTGGAGGTTCTCAGGCTGTGACAGGAGATGACGAAGCCGCAGGTTCTCGTTTTCGTCAATGGATGCGTTGACCCACAATTTACTGAAGGGATCACATGTTCTTCTAATTAGGGAAGAAACAATGAAGAAAAAATCTATGGCCTTAGACAAGTAGAAGATTGGTGTTGGCATGATTATCTCTTCTTCTCCAGTAAATCAGGGCTCAAGGCTCCGATTGAGGGACCCCCAACCTCAGGAGTCAATCCTCCATGCTCCAGCTGTTTCAGAATTATAGAAGAATGCGCACCCATTGAGACTCATTAATGTGTTGTCAGTCACGAACATCTCCAATAGGGGAGACGATCAACGTTGGCATTGCCAAGGGGAGGTGACGACCAGGTTTGGGTGGTCTTCCCATCACTCCAGCATATTTGAAACTGGCTAAACACTCAAGGGGAGCATTTCATTGATTGGCAACCGAGCGGATAGAAAACGAGAAGAATAAGATGCTTTGATGGGGCTAAAGTCAACGCGTGACCGCTCCCTAATGTATAAAGTCAACGCATGCTTTGTTAAAAACAACATTAAGGGCTTGAATAACGATGATACCTCCAAAACCCATCAACCCACCCCTTATCCGTCACAAATTCGGCGCATAAATTGGAGAAAACAGATCAGGAGGAGAGTACCAATGCCAATAAATCTCTGGTGGATTTTGGGGTGGGGGGGGGGTAGAAGAACGCCAGAAATGGAAATAAATTGTATATGATCTCAGAGCCTGGCTTAAAGGAGAAGTGGTGAAGAGCAGCTTCAGCAGCTGGAAATATATTTCATCAACTCACCACAGGGTTTGATTTTATCCACATTGAACCTTCTGCCAAGAGCAGTTTGGCGAATCATTGATGATTTAAATGCCTGCTCAGATAGCAGGGATTGTCATGGAAATGCCTAAACACTGCTAAAATATGTTCATGATTCAGAAAGAAGCAGCTCATGATTGTGCCTGCTCAGACGGCGGGGGTTGTTGTGGAAATGCCTGAAGACCGCCAACATACGTTGCCAAAATTGATGATGATGAGACAGCCTCGGCGAATTCCTCCCAAGATCTTGCTGACAGAACAACAAAATCTGCCAATTTTCCGGGAGATAGGGAGCCTAGATCACCCTCGAGAAAGCTGGCATATGCAGCAGAAATCGTGTATCTGCAACGAATCATTGAACTGAATAAGGATGAGGAAAACTCTTAAAGAATGCACCAGAAGCGAAATGAGGTTTTCAGGGATTTCTTCCATGGCCTAACCAGTCAATCGAGGTTCTTTAAACATATGAATTTAATCTGCTGTATTTTCCAATTCCGATCGGAATATAACATCCTGGGTGTCAATCTAATCCTAATCGATTTCACTCGACTGATTTGTCCAAGATACTCGTGATTTTCCAGAACAAATGAGGTCTTAAAGATAGAAAAGTTGACCCAAGGTTCAGCCATAACTTTTGGAAAAGTTGACCCAAGGTTCAGCCATAACTTTTGCCTATTCGTTTTCCCAAGGTTGGATCCCTTTCACTAAGACCCTGTGGACAAGAGACGGGGACTGTGGAATGCCCAGCTGATTGATTCACCTAGACTGCAGAACCAACTGAGTAATCCCTCCAGAGCCTTCATAGGACTACAGAAGTCTCTAGTCCCAAAGATCAGGATTTCTCACACATCCATCCATAGCAGACGGTTTTACTAGGAGTGGTGAAGAAACAATTTTGAATTACCCATTACGGGTAAGTATATGTTTTTTCATAATCCTTAGGTTATCTTAACTGATGAAATTTCTGAGAAATAAATAAGGTAAGATGTGGTTGAAATTCATTACGCTTTAAGAGCATTTTCCAGGGAAACACGTTCAGATGGGATCCAGGCATGTTTCCAGCCAGGAGGTATGCGTTTTGTTGCAGCAGTGATGCCTCCAAGAGGGTTAATGTCTCCAAACTGAAAGCATAAAATTATTTCAAGCAAGTCTGCAAGGGCTCGTAAGAATTAGAATACAAGTTAAGCACTTACTGGCCAGTCAGAACCGAATGCTAGCTGTGCACCACTTGACAAAAGAGACTGAAATAAATATGATCCTTTATGAGATCTATCAATTCCGATCTTCTTTTCAGCAGAGGCGGCATCATCCAGCAAATGTTCCGGCTGTAAAACATTTTATAGAAAGATGGAAAGATCCTCAGATTAAAGTTCAGGAGGGCATAAATCTTTTACAAATAATCAGCGGCTCACAGAGACTTCACAGAAGGGTTAAAAACAGATGGCGTAGATTGAAGATATACTCAATTTAGATCACAATTCGTTAGATAAGATAATTGCATTATTTTCCAGAAACATAATCTTTTCTGTGATTAAAAAATGATTCTTTAGGAATAGAATAAAATACAACATTAGACTTGCGTGGTCGTTTCTGTGGGAGAGAGAGGGTGAGAAACAACCCAGGTACTAGTATTCCCAGTGAATGGGTACTCTTGGCAGTCCCCTTGTTTTGAAGATCGTCATCACCATATTTTGCTTCATCTGAGAAGGCCGTCGATGAAGCAAGATTCAATCATCTTTCTTATCACCCTCATTCTTATTGTATCAACTACTTTAAGGGCCTCAAAGCTGAGTAATCCTCATTAGAGGTTTCTAAAATGAAAAAAAATTCCTTGAAATACCATCCAGATTAATCATTGATCATATTTTTATATTAGTTTTCTTTCCCAAAAGGAATATCATAATTATGATTTTTTTTTGAGCAATGACATATTTTTTGCTTTCATATTTTTGAAAGGTAGAATAAAAAGACTAATAGCATGATTGTTTTACATCAATATTTGACAATGTTAAATTCCTTAGCTTCGTTATATAAGAGTCATCTAACCACGTTGTACGAATAAGAATCAACAAGTGCACCTGCACTGAGGCAATGACCCTCAGTTGACCAAAACGTGCAGCAGATCCCGCTGCCAAATGCTGAGCATGTTCAATCTGGTCAGAATCACCTCGTCAGAATAAGCATACATAGAGATGTCATCAGCTTTGATTAACCGCCCGATTTTAGATCACTTACCCTGAACCTTCGGTCTCTCATTCCATTTTGATTTCCCACTGTGTTAAACATCTCTAGCACCCCGTCATTTGCTTTATCACCTATAGCATGGATAGCCACCTGTGTGGATAATGTTGGAAAATGATACAAGGCAAACTGAGAAAGGTTTTATCTCCAGAAACTTATTTTCGACGTAGAATAGGCATCAGTTCTCATAAAAATTGCTTTGCACCTTGAGAATCAATCATACAGACAGTGGGTACAAGAGCACGACATGAATAAGGAGCACCATAAATATATATTCGGAAAAAGAAGTACCTGAAGTCCAGATTTGTCTGATGGTAAAGTCATGTTAAGAAGTGTACCAAAGTCCACCACTTGCAGACCATAATTGTGTGGTTCATCGACATAAGGCTGGACAAATTATCACTTCATCAATTAAATATATAATGAATGCATAAGCTTAAATTCATTATAGGAAATTTATTGGAACGAATTATGAAGAGTGATACTACAAATGACTTGATAACTTAATGACAATAGGGCACAGCTGTCATTCCCTGGTCGAGAACTTACAGAGACCTGCTTTCATTTCCGTGTTTAGCAAGTTAACAATATTCTCCTATTTTGTTCTCGTTTGTTGAGAAGTTGGATTGGGTTGTAGGTTAGAAGATGAGAGAACAGCGTTGACATCCCCACACTACAGGCATACTCCATTTGGTCAGGTTGGCTAAAGAGACAGTTAGCCCACGAAACAGACATGGCTCTATACACAAAATTATGACATAAGTATCTAAAGGATACAAACTCAAAATTATGCCACTGAATTTATTATCAACTGTCATTCATAATTGTCTGTTAGAGGGTCTATCAGAATATGAACTCATTAGGTTCATTCTCACTGTGTGTTAAGTGAATCATTTAGAACATGGGCGCTTTAATATGGTATAACTAAAGTCAATGTCGATATGATCAAAGTCAAAGAGTCGTTTAGAATATTCAGCTGTCCCATTCTAGAACTTAGGCCAGAATGGTTACGCTCCTCTCTTGCTATATATGAATAGACAAGGACGGGACTATGAATGTAACCCTAATATTTTCCTTACTACAATGTCCAAGAAAGAAAGAGAAACGACTATACACCCATCTAAACAACAATCATCAACAAGATCCTCAACTGGCCGTATCTCACTATCCAAGCAAAGTTGAGCATAACCTTGACCCAATCCAACCATCAAAGACGTATCCTAAACCATGACAATAGAACGTGCATAGAAAACATCTCATAACCATAGCAATTTTCGTCATTTCATTTAACTAATGACAGTTAATGTCAAATAGGGAGGCATACACTAAGAATTTAATTTATGTCACTAATAAACTCGTTAATATAGTTCTATAACACATGTACAGAAGCAGTTCTGAAGCATTCGCTTTGATGTAGGTGGCATATGGCCATCAGAAACCTGAGGCAAGGACAAAACGTTGATCAATCAAGAAACGTCACGTTGTCATTCTCCTCAATTTGCATGGAATAATATAAACCTTGGCGAATCTACAGAAGAAAAATCCGAATCTACAGCACATTCGATTCAACTGAATAAAATACAGTTACACAGTATATAAAAAGTAAAACAAATTTCATAATTTGTACAATAGACTGTACAGCCTAGGCTCTAAAATCCTGGATCAAATGACGGTAAATCTTGCAGCCATTGAAAAAAGTTAAGCATGTTAAGTGTTATGAACCCTCTTTTACAGTAATCAGGCAATTTATGGCCTAAATCAGCCTCAAAATGGTCAATTCACCGGGGATTATCTGCCAGATCTGACCAAACGTGCTAGGTTTAGCAGGCTTCTAATGTGAATGCTCCAATCTGAGAAACAATGTGAATGAGTCACACCGAATTCAGCTGAATCATGCTTTCCTACCCAAATCCAGAATATATAATCCCTGCCTATGCAACTGTCTGATCCATTTGGATCATCATGTTCAGAATTAACGGAATATGACAAAGCTACAAATGCAGCCAAGTATGATACGCCGAAAATTACCTGATAAAAGAGTGCACTGTTGGAACCCAACGAACCATCAGCAAAAGCTTTGACACCACCGAGATGAATCCACTGGCTTATGCTTCTACCTCTTTCCCGGACGAGGTTCTATGACGCAAAAAGAAAATGGAATGACCACAGTGTTTGAATGTCGAACATATTCTTTGAAAAGCTTCTTTAAATACAGGGTAAAATTACTTTTTCCCAATAAACTTCAACAGAGAGAAACATATTTATCACAGGGAATTTGCAATCGAATGTCTCTTTTTTTATGTGATGTTTGCTTTCTAGTGATCTCTGTATGGTGTTTACGTGGTTAATATGGCAATCTCCTTGTCCCAATATTAAGAGAAATGAATCTCCTGACAACATGATTTTATGTATTCTCAAAGAGGAGACTTGAAACCTATCAAATATCAAAGTGCTATTAGAAAGGAGATTATGATGGGGTTGCTTGGGCACCAGATTGCCATGGGAATTGTGATCAAGATAATGACGAGATTGACATAAGGAAGCAAAGAAGGTGAGTAAGATCACTAGTTTTCGAGATGAAAAATATCCCAAGGCAAGAAACACCAGACCATGTGAAAATACCATCTCTTCCAATGTTCTCAAGATCAACAGGTGACGAGTGAGGGAGTCTCGCAGTAATATCTGATTACATGTTTCATCTAAGAGCACAGGCCCATTCATTGGGGAAGGATATGATTTATGAAGGATTCTAATGTTCCAGTCTCCCTGAACAACTAATACCTACAGTTATTTCTTTGGATATTCTAACTGAAAAAAATGGCTGTGAATCATGAAAAAAATGATACCAGATACTTATGTCATGAAAATGATTTGATAAAGGAAGAATCAAGAACTTTCAAAAGGATTTGTAAAAAGCTGCAACTAGTATAAGAGGTAGGAGATGACACTTGACCAATACTCCACTACCCTTTGTATATTCATTGCTATTATAATAGTCTATAAGATACATATATTAAAAACATACAGCTCTTTTTTGAATTCTGTGCACATATAGAACCCAGTGGCGCTCAGTCATACTGAGGTGGGAACAAGTAACACCATATATAGATTTTCTTCACCAACGGATGGTGAGGTGAATGAAGGAATGAGGGGTGATATATAGGTAGACTGCATCGACCGTAATGATTTGTCACGTACTGCACAAGCTACTTGAATGGTTATGAGTTGGACTCAACCTAGTATGAGTTCCCTAAAGCTGACTGGGTTTCCTACTGTACCGCCCATCCACAAGAAGAAAAAACATAGTAAAAGTCCCTTCCAGTCTCCTAAATTGGATTCAATCCTGGGCATTAGAAATAAGGAAATCAAACGACCAGAAGACAGATCTAAGTGCTGGAAGACTCCTTAAAATAACTTGGAAAGATAGAAAAACTATTGTTTTGATAAAATCGAAATCAATTAAGCATTTCAATTAACATCCACATTGTGTGAAGAAATAAACCATATTGACGTCGATTTCCGTTGCTTTCATTTCCCTCTTTTAGCAAAATATCACTTGTAGGAATTTCCTTTTAATTGCAACCTGTTATTAGTGGAATTGGATGTGTCTTCACTAGTTAATCAAAGTATAAATGATGAAGCAAGAAGAGATATAGAAAGACCAGGAGGCATTTTTCGTTATGACATCAAGTGGAATACATATTTCTCCAGTCCTCTGGTAAAGGAGCACCTCCCATTATGTCATTTACAACGAAATTTCCGAAAAAGAAATCATTGTAGCAATAAGGTACGTACAGCCAAACGAGACCATGTCTGCATTGGGAAAAAGAGGCAAACTCTGATCAGCATTTCTTCAGATGAATCGGCCCACTGATATACATCTGTAGAGTAAATGGATATGTTTCCAGGAATAGATAACAAGTACTCATTAAATAAAGACCGTTATTTACAATCAGCAATCGGTGTCAAAAAAATTAATCTATAAAAAATAATCAGTGACCTGACAAGTCTTCCCAAATGGAATCCACTGATGCACCAGGAAAAAATCTTCCAACGTCAATGACAGTTGTTACGCCCTTCTTTAGCGCATATCCACTGGCTCTTCTGAATGCCTCCCTCCTTTCATGAAGAGATACTTCAGGAATGAAAGGAAGAAGAAATTTCATGGCAGCATCTATGAGAAGCCCTGTTGGATCTGGAGTTAAGACTAACGCATCAGAACACTAATATGCTGGCTTCTTCACGACTAAAACAACAGGGCGAGCCAAAAGTATAAGCTGTTTACAACGGACTGAAGAAGCAAAATTATGCACAAAACCTGAGAGATAAAGTTGGGTTTTAAAGGAAGAGAATGTCTTGAAGCAGTTAGAAATAGAAGGATAAGTCATGGTAGCACTAATGGCATTGAAATGGTGTCTACGTAACAAACACAAAGACAACTAGCACGATAAAATATATTCAAATCATCATTCATCTATAAAGATGTTGGATGAAATGTAGAGTTAGTAAACTATGTGACGGAATAAACATGTACTATAGTGTATATTACAACCCCAGAGTCCTAGAAAATATAAATGCAGTGGTGAAATGTGAGAATAATACTTTCAGTTGACATGGAATGCCTTACATACTGTCTTCGATTCTACATGACGAGGAAGAAGTCAAAATGCATGTTAATATCAGAAGAAAATATCCAAAGGAACAAGAGGGCAAATTCTGGAGGAAGTTTCACAGGCAGTGTGCTGGTCTATTTGAATGTCAATAGTTTCACAAGCAGTCCTTGAATCAACAGTATTAGTTTCAGTATAATGAAGTTCGTTTGAAATAGTACTCTGACAAGAGATTCTCATCTGGCAAAAGAAGTTCATCCTGAATCTCATGCCTGATTTTTTTATTTTTTTTAGTTTCTAAATTCGTATGGAGGACTTTGAAGACTGGACACGTCAAAAGGACTGGAGGCGTTTCATCAATATACTTATTCTTCCAGAAATAGTAATTCAAGCAGTTTATGCTGATTCATTTGAAAATAAGAAGAAACTTTCAATAACTTGATTAAAAACCTAAGAGCAAGACTACAAGACATTTCACCACAGCTTCATGTTTGGAGAATCTTCAGCATCTGCTTAGTGTGGAAGATAAGACTTCACCCTATAACAAGAAGTATGGAAATGCTATATACCAAGGGCAGACAATTGATAAACTATCCAATAAACAAAAAAAAACTCCATGACCATTCCAGAGAGTCACAACACAAGACATAATCAACATAATGATTTCAGGAAGGAGAATATGCAAGTGTAACGGGAGAAATAGGAAAAATGGAGATATCCACACAAGTCTCTAAAATCACCATATCAATGCATTTAACGGACACGTAATTTTCAAGCACGAAAAACAAGCTATTCACGAATGAAACAAATGTGAAGATGAGATACCAAACCAAACAGGAATTACCTCCGCCATTGTTTTTCACCACGGTTCCACCAACAGGATCCTCGGATCTATTTGTTATTCCGGCAATTCTCAGAGCCAGTGAGTTTGCTAGTCCCATATGACCATCTTTCCTGGATAACCAAACCTATACATAGAAATTAATGATAAGCAAAAGGAAGTCGCGTAAGGGATTTGAGGCTGGTATGGTCAACCAGATTTGTATTCATACGGGATTTTGGCGGGTAACTTCATCAATCCAGGAAGCAACAGGCAAGTCTCCACCCCAGAGATCATTGTTCCATCCTCCACCTAATAACCAATCACCTTCTCGCTTATCTGTCAACCAATTATTTAATGATACGTTAAAAGCACAGTTTATTTAATAGAAAATTTCTAAAAGGAAAACAACATAAGGTAATTGATCATGTTTTTCATATACAACATGTGCTGAGAATTCCCCAAAAAACGGATGCTATTAGAGGTAGGGGTGTTTTGATAGACATTAATCAAATGAATGATTGAAAACTAAAAGTGTAACAATTAAAAGCCTGACAAGGGAATATGTTGGCGGAGTAAAATAAGGGGAAAAAAAAGGACAAAAAAAACAGAGAGAGAGAGAGAGAGAGAACGGGGGGATGTAATCATCATCTACCAGATAGAAAATTATTGGTGTTGGAAACATACATTCTAATCTACCATTTCAATGCACCACAGACCGTGTTTACATTTAGCATGCATAGTAACTTGTTTTTACAGTCTCTATTCTGGTCATTTTCAAACTTCCAGCCCGCTTTTTAGAGCATTCTTATAAGTGTTTCGTCACAGATACTATAACTAGTCTTTACGACCTCTTCCACAACTCATCCAGAAACTAAGTTTTCAGAGATAGACTATTGGCTGTTACTACCCCTACAGCTCTCTAATAGAGTTATTTATTTATGGTTTGTTCCCTTCCCACATATCCATCAAAAGATCCTCATTTAATCTACTCTCATCCTGAGAATATGGCTTCTTCGGTTGTCCACTCCCATTTTCCATATTCGTCCTAATCATTTGATAACTTGGTGATTTCCTTAACCCTTCAAAAAGTCACATCTAAGGCGTTTTTTCTTTAACTTAATTTTTCAACTTTAAATTACAACATATCATGAAGTAAGCCCTTCTCTAGCGCCAAAAAATAATAATAGTAATAATAAAATAAAATAAAAAAATCATGAAGTAACCTACATCAAAGCAGTTTTGCACAATCGACCCACTCATAACAAGGATAAGAAAGCATGGACTTAATCCTGGTCATTGATGCAGATAAACCTTAACTGAGAATTATCCATAATGCTGTAAAAATTACTCATATTAGCCATTGTTCGTTGAGATACAACTGTTTGTAACCCCAATACAAGTTCAAACCGTTATATTATAAATATTTCTCCAGATTCATAGAAACCTCTGTAGACTCCCCTACAAAGCCTTTGTCCATTAATTGCCTACATAGGCAAGTAGATTAAATACCTAATCTTGTTGTCATAAGCTAAGTTAGTTCTCTAAATATTTCCCATTTGTTTTACATTTTTTTAGCGTTATTTCATATAACTTCGCAGAAAGAGTCATCATGCTGATAGCTTTTATTCTTTATTTTTTTCTGTCAGTGAATGGTACTACGAATTCATTTAGGTTAAAAAAAACTAAAAGAGATGTCCAAATGCATGTAAAATGTCGTCTAAACCGTTTCCATATGAAAAACAGAAGAAAAAAAGCTAAGTTTCCAACTGTCTCAAACCGAGGAATATCTTCCCACCTAACCACCAAAATTTCTCACTCAACATCAGATAAAGATGTCCCTGACGTGTTCAACAAAGGCAACTGCAGTTATTTGAATTTCATGCATCCTTTAACCTTCCATAATATAATTATTTCACCATTACCACAATACTTTCAATACGAACCGGGACTAAACCTTAACCTTGAAAAATATTTCTTCACGCTATGGAAATATTGCCGCTTATGATACTTGTAGACTCCCATATTCCTCCAAGTTTTTCATATTTTTATCTAATGAACTTTTACTCTAGAATTACTCCATTCATTCATGATTTCCACAACCATTAAAAAAGACATGTTTGTGTAGACTATTTTTGCAAAGTCCACAACAACTCCAGCGAATTGCTTCCAAGTCAGGTAATGTAAAATTGTTCAACCAGTAAATAATAAACTTTTTCCTACCAACTTGTTTCACTAGATGTCTAATTTACCATCTACTATCCAAAGAACAACCTGGGAGTGTTGATCTCACGGAGGCTTTTGATCATACCACTTCGAGGAGCCATTGTATCTTCATTAGGGTACATAATCCCAGATTTGGGGACATGTTCATGCCAATGATGATATCAAGACAGTTTTGTGTACAGGGATAGAAGTGAAGGACCGAAATAATAAGACGTGAACCTTTCACAGCATCTTTGACCTTCGCCACAAAACCATCTACACTCGTCGTTTCAGAAAGGTCTACCCTTGACATCTGATCGTCATCAAGAAATGCATTAATGTTGAAATTCAGCATTACCATTTTGAATGAAAGATATAAACCACAAAAAATCAGATAGATTCCTTATTTTGAAAATATAGTGAAAACCTTATCATTAATTCTGCATTCCAAATATATCCTGTACTTCAAAAAATTATCGGTAAAACCGGAAAACGTGATCACATTAAGAAAATAAAAGTGACTAGAGTGCACATTATGTTTAAGAAACTTCATTTGACAACATATGCGTAGGTACTTCAAAAATTAAAAGAGAACCATGTCTCGTCCGAAGCAATTCATCATAGATATCCTAATAATACAATCGACATCCTTTTGGACCTTTACTACAGTGCAACGATACTAACTTTCACAATACTACATGCAGAAGTGTTTATTGTTTTGCAAAACCACCCTAAATTTACATTATATTAAACTATTAACCAAATAAAAATATAGTAGATGCTTCATCACACAAGGAAATCACCTAAAACTCTGTTCAACAACTAATTAGCTAAAGTTAGGCAGGGAAATTTGGCATATATTTAAATTTCTGCTTTCACCAGATTGAACAGCCTAACATGTCTATGTCGATTCCACATGTTATTTTTCGGTTAAAATATGTCTCTTCCTGCCTTCATCAACTGACTCCTATCAACTAGTCAGTGCTGAGCAAACTCCTTATATACTGAAATCTAGATTGGCAATCACTTACATAATGAATGGAGGGCCAATACTACTACCTTGGCAATCTAGATTTGTTATTTGAACATGCTAAGTGATTGTTACATGCCTTTCAAGCTGTAACCCTGTGATCTTAATTACAGAGGTGATTTTCTTTATTGAACCAGAACTTCTATTAACATGCAGTGAGAATCTTTCCATGCCTCCATGCTACAAAGCTTATCTTCCATTTTAAGGTGAATTCTTTTGGGCAAAAAGCAGCAATCTAAAGTGTACTGTCGAAAAATACTTTGGCCCACTGATGATAGGAGAAAAATCATATTACCCAAACATTTAATTCATAAGACTTCAAATCGTTTCTATACTAGTTAAGTTTATTAGTATGGAAGTAAAATTTTTATTTTAGTATAAATTTTGCAGAAAATTTAGGGCCAGTATCCTATAGTTAGCAAAATTCAATAATATGCTGAAAATAACGAACCAGTTTCCAGTGATCAGAAAATTCATTTTGAATATGAATATCTGGTTTTAGCCACTGACATAGTCCTTACCACTGAAGTATGAAGATAGTCTTTTAGTTATTGTCAAAAAATAGCTTATATTGTGCTGGGAGATTCTGGAAAGGAAAATCTCTCATTAGCTATTGGCTCCACAATTAAGTGCTAAGAGAAGAATTATTGCCAATCATAGATATCCGAGCTTTTTACTTTTTGCATAAATCCTCCATCTATGCAGGCTGGAGAGGGGAAGAGATTATCACTCAAAAAACATTAGAAATCGAGAAATTATTTTTGAACCACTAAAGGAATTTATATCTTGATTAGCAAGATGAGAAAAACAAGCCTCATAAGACTGAATCTATTTCCACTAAACTTCATTTCAATGTTAACATAATTTATCGCAAACTTTAAAAGAATGCTTCAAAATCAGAATAAAGCGCATTTTGAGAGAAGGAAACACTGTGCCTATGACCTGCAAGCCTCCATATATGAAGTGCACGTGCGAATCAATAAACCCTGGTAGTACAACCTTCCCATAGAGATTTAATTCACGAGTACCTGAACCTACAAAATCCTGCACAACATAGAAGTATCAGATAAAATATAACATTTACATACTGGTTACAATTCACACACGCTCAATCAGGATGAAGGATGTCTTGTGACAAGCCAGTTTTGTGACAAGCTTAGGCCCTCAGAAAATCCATGATAAATCAAGATAAAATGTTTTATCCGATACATAGATGATTCAAACTTACCCAAAAAGGTGGCGTAATTGGATACACATAACGAGTGAATTCTCCCTTTGAAAATGAGGAAAACAATAACCACCCGTATATCTCAGATTGCTACCATTGACGAAATATCACGTTTGCCAAGATGGTGGATGAACTGTGCATGCATTTGACGATTTATCCATCAAAAGTGTCAAGATCAGAAGCCATATGGTACGCTCCAGGGTCATAGTTCTAGTTGAAAAATGGTTCATTTCTTAGGACATAGGTGAAATCCCATCATTAAGTCGGAGAATCAATAATGTGAATGAAATTCAAAACACCCTGAATTGGCTGATTACTATATGATCAGAAGGATCAAGCATAGGGGAGGGCTTACAATACCCCTCTACCCTTCATATCCACAAGCTCAAGGATAAGAAGACGGATAAACTATCAGAATGATCCTTACCCTTCATATCTATAGTTTCAAGGACAAAGTAAGGGATAAACTAGCAGAATGATGTAAGCAGTACTTTAGCCAGGTAGCCCTCAGCTGCCCCATGTTCTCCAACAACAGCCAGATGTCATTGAGGTTGTATTTTGACAATTGAGTATGAGGACAAAGGGCAACTACAAGAGAATAAAAGAGAGGGTGGGTCAAAGGTTTCAGCCATTGGCAGCATGATGACGTCGAGAAACCGTGATAATGAGGGAGGAATAGGTTAGTTAAGCGCTTCAACAGAGTGCGTTGGCAAGTGTGGGAGTGGCTGGGTGGTTATTTACAGCCCAAGTGGTCTGAGGAGGCGGATATGACAAAGTTGGCAAGGAGAGAGCGATTGAGAGGATGAGGAAGCCAAAAGCTTCAACCGACTCCTGAGGAGGAACCATGTCAGGTTGACTAGTAACACTGGATCCAGTTTCAAGGCTGATCATGTTTCCAGCAAGGAAAATTTATTTTATCCGTCTAAGTGAGGCCGAGATAACCCAAGGTAACTATCACAAATCATATCCTCCTATATGATTATGTTTGTGCGCATGTGGTGTCTCATGGCAGTGCCAAAAACATGAGTTAAAGAGAAATGGCGCCACCACATATGCTTTTAGCAGGAATTTCTGAATGAGCTCTTCACTAAGAGCCATTTCAAACAACGATTATTACTGTTTTGTTTAATGACTGTGGACAACGTAATCAACTCCAGTGAAATATCTTCCCCTAGTTAGCGAGTTACAATCTCTCTTTTCCGTGGCGGTGTGGCGACAGCATGTTGAATTGAGAACAAAATTTTTTAGAGTAGTTGACCCGAGCATGTAATACTCCCGAGCAAAGGGGGAAAGCGTCGGATCACTGACCTTCAGGGAGGAGTAGTTCCCAACCCCAAGGATCCTGCCGCCACGCACGGTCATCGCTTCAGCGAAAGGAAGAGACGAGTCGCTCGTGTAGATTGTCCCATTCCACACCAGCAAATCCGGCTCATGAGACTGCCGCAGGGGCCACCCTGACGAGAACCCAGAATCTTAATAAGAACATGAAGATAAAAGAAAAATGGCAACGCAGCATCGGTGACAGCAGAAGTACATGCGGTGTCCGAGGGGGGGAGCAGCAAGACGGAGAAGAGAAGAGTGGCAGAGGCAGAGAGGATTAGGAGCTTAGTCCCCATCTGCCCAACAGATTCCGCTGGATTCCGCCGAACAGCCGAAGGTGGACGATCCCCGGGAGCTGAATCTTTGGAGACCACCCCGACAGTGTCTGAGCCAGGGGATAGCAGTCAAAGTGGCCCATCTACGTGTAGAAGAAATTTGGAAGCCAAAAAAGAGCTACCCAGTCAGCACATTTGGCCCAGTTATCTACTGCCACCTGCCAATCGCCAAACCTAAACCCACAATGTGGATCATATCTAGTGTCTAAGTAAAGCCAAATAACTTGCATTCATCTACAAAATTAATGAACGAGCATAATATTGGTAAATAAATTATAGAAACTATTAATATATTTTCTCTTAGAGTTGGGGGGTTTCTTAAGCTTACAGAAATTACGCATCATATAGTAGAAAATTTACATGGAAGATATTGTAGGATTGGCGAATTTAAATCCCCATAATATAGCTGGAATTCATCCAGAAAAATTAAAAAAATTGGTGGATGATTGCAATTTGTTTGACTTTTAATTCTCTCTCTCTCTCTCTCTCTCTCTCTCTCTCTCTCTCTCTCTCTCTTGTTCATCAAGACTAGTGTCTCATAAAAGTCTTTAATGAAAAAGAAAACTCACCTAGCTACGCTGATTCTAGTCTTGATAATATGATAGCGACCATCTAGTTATGGAAATAGCCTCAAAATCACAAGACTACCCTAACGTTATGAAAAAAGAATGCCACTATTTTTCAATATCTCAACATTATTTTGGTAGTGAAAAATCTTCATTTTACTCTTGTAATTTTTATATTACTATAAAAACTTTAATGCTCCCAAAGTCAAGAATAGGAAGTATACCAAGGTAATATATCATTGTGAGGAGTTATGTTATAAATAATAAAGTATATAAAATATAATATGTCAATATATGAGAAATTACCTTGTGAACTAATAGAGAAAATCAAACTTAATGTCTTAGTAGATATAGAAATGAAGTTTTAAAAGACAAGCATCTAAGTTAGGAGTGGCATCTAAATAACTTACTATATTGATTTTAATATTCTAGTATAATGGAACTATGGTATCTAATAATATAGTATGTAGAGCATGGCATCTTAATAGATGGAATTCATGAAAACAAACAGTATCATTTAACTCATTAGCAGTATGTAAATACCTCCATATGTTAACCTCAACATATTGGAACATCAAAATTTTGTTGGAAAACTAAATACTAGATGAACTACAAGGTATTTATATTGAAGATCTCTCTTCAATCTGAAACTCAAAAAAGAGTGACCATATTACTCATTCAAAGCAACCCTAATCACTCATAGAGAGTCAACAAATGAATTGAACAAAGTTTTCTATAAATACAAGAAAATTCAAAATTTAAAGAAGTGTAAGAATAATGGGATAGAAAGTAGTTGAGCACAAAAGGCTCAATCTTGAAGCTTAAGTGAAGATATATTTACAAGATTCTAAGTCTTGGCAACAAGAAGTAAATACTTCTAGGTTGAATCTCCAACATACCACACTCTAAGGAAGCTTCAAAATGAACAATTTAAAGGTTGAACCTAGTTTTATTATTCTTATTCTATTTTTAGTGATAGAATATTATTGATAATAAATTAGTTGGAGATTATCTGAATATTTGAATCTATAATAACAAGTTAGCATCGGATTATTAGTATTTGACTGCCGAATGTTGTAAATCTAGAAGCAAGTGTTGAGGGTGGTTGAACAGCATATGCTTCCGTAAAACGTACACGAAACTTATTTGTCTCTTTAATAGGTTTTTACATTAATACAGTTAACAATGAAAGCTTTTGTTAGTTAGATGCCATAAACCTTTATGAATGAACCAAAAATTCTACATATGAACTTTCTCTATTTTAAACCCTAATTTTTGAAGTATAGTGAAGAAATGATATTTGACTAGCCCACTATCACTAAGAATGCAAGATTGTGATGAAAAATCGTTATCAAATCCATGAACAATTTTGCCCTCTCGCCAATCAAGTTCTTTACAGCTATCATATGTTTCTCCATATGAGCTTCAATTAAATTTAGAAAACTTGTTGTCTAGTACGCTAGCTTCTATTCATACTTGTAAGGTGGTCTCAAATAACAAGGGTATTAATTATTTATGCATCCATAATAACTAATGTGTTATTGTTTATTGTTATAGTAGTATATTGACCATATGATAAACCTTGGTTTATGAAAACTTCCTTTAGCTAATGCTTGTACCACAACTTTTTTTTTGAACTACAAGATGTAGTTTGTGCCTTCTCCACTAGTGAATCAATCCATTCTAAGGCCAATATAAAGATTATTTAATTTGATTATTTATCATTGGTAGCCTACTTCTATATATCTCACTTCAAAGCATCTTTAAATAAAGACATCATATGAGATCTATGTTCTTACAAATTTGTCGAAGATAATAACATGCAAAACTCTTTTCCATAATATCGCATAGATGTATTACTCAATCAGTAATTTCAAAAGTCTTCAGATAAAATATACATATAAATAAAGGGAAGGATCCCTTTATTAAGTAGTCTTCATTTTTTATTTATCTATGCACTACTTTTCTTGCTCTCCTACATTAGGTATTTGATACATCCATCACCCCAAATTCAAGTCATATGTAATAAGTTGATCTCTTTTTATCTAGAATAAAACACATTCAAGCAATAATTCAATCTTTATTATAAGATAGAAAAATTATTCATGACCAAATGACCCATTTCATAACTTAAAATAGCTTCCTCTGAATGTTTTTGTCTATTACACATGGTAAAATTAATTCTAAATTGTCTAAAAACATAAATATATAAAACCTTGTTAAAAAGTTTTAGAGAAAAGTGAAAAAACTAATGCTACTGAAGGTTTAACATCTTTAATTTTCAACATATGATAATGTTGGGCCTTTTATAGTGCGCCATTTGGGTCTTTAGTGGCTTACCCTTTTGGGTCTTGTTGATTATTAGTTATTCTCTTCAGCAAGAAAAATACGGTATAAGCTCCTCAGCATTATTGACATTTGATCCATCTTCTAATCCACGACTTCTAATTGATAAAAGAGCTTACACTGAGTTTAATAAACTTTAGCCTATTTGTTTGTACTTGGAAGAAACACTGATTTGTTTTAATCCAAAGATTCGAACAATTCCTTTGTCCTCAACATAGGCATGATGGATAAGTTCTCAAAAGGTTTCTTCAACCTGACTCGATGCTCTACATATGCAATGTAGACTCAAGAGAAGTAGAGTTGCAAAAGAAGAGAGTAAGATAATAGGGAAGAGTAAAAGAGGGAAGATGAAATGATTTCAAGAAATCTAAAAGGGTTATATGAGTAGAGGCAGGCAGGGGGAAAGTGATTTTTATTTTGTTGCTTTCTAATATGAAATGATGTTACTTTAAATACTTCATTCTAATGTGCGGAGTCAATGAGGGTGTATCAAACTTAGATTAGTGTGTCATTTTCTTGAGTACTGTTAAATATTCTTGTCCTTTAGCATGCAATATAAACTCTAATTTAAATTATGGTTAGTGAGAAGGGGAAAAATGAAGCCATCAAGGTATTATGTTGACCATATGGTGAAGATTTGGTGGTCACTTAGTGTACATTCCTTGAGTAGTTTTAGGTTCTTCAACATGTGTGTGGAAACACATGGAACCATGTATAATTACTCTCCTTTTGATGAATCAAATTGATGGTTTTTATATTTTGTGTTTTTTTCCTCCATCTTCCTCACAAGGAGGAGTTTCAGCTCTATGATTCCCTCCCATCAGGTTCTACATCAGGCTAGAGCCAACGTAATATGGTGCTAGAGCAGGTGTTCTCTTTCCTCACTCCTATTTGATGGGGTGTATTTCCACATTTGCATGGAACACACTAAAGGGTTGTGTCCCCTTTCTTCTTATATTCTTGATCAATTGTAATCTACTCGTGTCACGGTTGACACTCTTTCTATATCTACGAGGTATGTCGCCTTTATCCTCTGCACAAAGGAAGTCGGCCTAGCTCTCCTTTATTTTCTCCTCAATCATGACAATGCAACCCCTCAGATTCACCTATATATCCTCTTTGAGAAAAATCAACGATTTGTTTCATCAAAAGGAGAGTATCTATACATGTGTTCACTTGTGCTTCCACACATTTGTGAAGGAACATAAGACGAGGAGATACCATTCTTGTGTAATCCCACTCTTCCTCCCTTTCTTTAAGCCACTCTCTAATTAGTTTGATTCCCCCTACTAGGAAGCCACCATTGACAATTATCACCAATATGAGAGCCCACCTCTAGTTGTGAAAGAGATATCCTGTCAACAAGCACACGACAGTTAGTCTCGATCTCCCCATAAGCTTGTGTGATTACCTAGTGTTGTTAGCTGTGTAGATCCTATGAATTCTCCACCATTTCGGAACCCATCTATATGATGATAGTTTTCTTCTCTGCAGATACTATGTGGGAGATTTTCTTTCACATATCCTATAATTCATCATTGGTGAGCAGTTAATAAAAAAATATATGCATCAATAAAGAACAATGTTTCATCATCTGGTAGTAGTCGTTACACTGGAGTTGCATCTACATAGATTTGACTACAACTTACAAGACTTTCTAACAGACGTATGACTAGGGATATGAACACATACTAGCTTTACAACAGAAGACTTTCTTATACACAACATGATATGAGCTCATTTAGGGACTATTTGTCCCTTTGACAATTATAATTCACCTTAAATTGACTGAATTATGTAGGAAGAGAAATCAGAACTAAATACACAAATAAATTTTTTGATAGTTCTAACTTTAGTGCCTTTAGTTTTGATGCAAGATGAAACATCTCGAGAATGTACTTCCTTATATTTTCCTTACCTTTATACTTCATAGAGAGAAGTTTTGTTAAGATCGTACTTGTTTCAACCTTATCATTCTTAGTAAACTTTTTCTTAAGTTCTTCAAGGAAAATTCTTGCTGCAATGGCCTCTTCAAACAAAGTGTCCCTAAAGGCTTTTAAAATGACACACTTCATAATCATAAGACTCATGCGATTCAATTGGTCCCACTTATCCATATATTTCTTATCCTCATGAGAGTTTATAAGACGATCTTCTCTTAATATAATATCTAGGTTCATACAACCAAGAACTATCATAATGTTCTCTTTCTATGCCTTGAAGTTGATGTCATTTAACATAGGAATAAAGTTTATTTAGATAGAAATAATAGAATCAGAACTTGAAATTATACAAAGAATAATATGAAGCTCACACAAGTAACTTGATTTTCAAATAATGGTCCTTCTAATTACAAGATATTGAGTGTAACATTAATACTTTATTTTTGGACAATAATATTAACTACAAGTCATATCTTGATGTGACAAAGAAATATTGACAATAAATTTCTGTCAAATAATAAGCCTTTCTTTGAACCAGCTTATTATTCACATGAAAATACTAAATAATTATCACATATTTATTATCACAAATATATGTAATTTATAAAATACTAAACTTTTCTTTAGGCTAGTTAGTATCCCCAAAATTACAAACACAATATTTCATATGTTAGGAAAATTAATATCCACAAGAGAGTTTACTTTGGTAGAATTTTGCTTCAAGTAATAATTCTAAAATATCAAGCATGTACCAAAATTTGAATCATGATAGTTATTTGACATTTAACCATACTCAATATAAACATAAATATTGAAAATTTTAAATAACTCTATAAAGAATTTTTGAAATAAAATGACGTCTGAAATAATTTTAATTTTATTTTTTTTTATGATCATGACGTCAGTAGATCAAATGTTGACGTCACCATCATGACGTCATCACTGTAGACCGGCACGCTGGCCAACTAGATCGGCTTATGCCAAGCCGGCACACTGTTCTGGCAGTCCGGCTCGTGCTGAGCCGATTATCCGATCCAGCGTGAGCAGAGCTGCGTACCGAACCGGCGTGAGCCGAGCTGCGTACCAGAACTGGCACGAGCCGAGGCGTGGACCTGAACCGACGCGAGCTGAGCCGCGTACCTGAACCGGCACAAGCCGAGCCACGCACTAGAACTGGCGCCAGCGGTGTACGAAACCGCCACGTGACGATTCCTCTCCCGTCCGGCACGCACTGAAAACGGTGCAGCCATTTGATGCGATGAACCAGCAGTCGGTGCCTCAAATGCCGCGTGACGGTTTTTCTCCCGTCCGGCACGCACCGAAAATGGTGCGGCCGTTTCACGCGGCGGAGCGGTGCACGAACCATCACACCCTTAGGGCTTGGAATGGTCAGCCCAAAAATGGCCTCCTATTCAAAAAATAAAGCCGCATCGTTCACCCCTCCCCTCCACATCTCCCTCATTCCCACCGATTTCTAGAAGGCCCAGAAACCATCCTTCGACGAGAGGAAGAGAAGAACCGAATGGATTAGGGGCGTGCGGAAACTGCCGCAGCCCTCCGCCTCTAGCAGATCCTTTCGGAATCCTCTGGCGTCGGCCTGTGCCTCTTCTTCGCCTTCCGGAGCCCTCTGGCGTCCAGACATCTGGAAGTGCCGTCCACCGATCTCCAGCTTCCCATTCAATGACGAAAAGGGGAAAGAGGAATGGCTGGCCCCTCCTGCAGCCCACAATTTCCAAATGGAAATCTTCTTTCGGAAAAGAGAGGAAGAGAGGTGTGCGTAAACCACCGTTCCTCCTCCCATATAGGGAAAGAAGAAGAGTCGACAGACTCATTTGAACGGCTTGTAAAGGCACATTAATCCGTCCATGGTAAGGTCAAAACCTTATGATTTTCACAATGGACACCAAAATTCATTCTCAAGACAAGGCATCAAAAAATGATACCATGATAAACGAAAAATAATGAACAAATGTCATTCTCTAAAAATCAACACATCTTACTCTGATACCACTGGTTAGATCTGAAAGATCTAGTGTTGAGATAGATGGAGAATGATAAAGCATAATGAGAATGAATTAAAATCATACCTGAATCCATGAAGTCACAAGTACGAGAATAGCCTTTTAGATTAACACAGGGTAGTCGTCCAATGACTTACTCTAGAAAGATGAGATGCTCTAAGAGTAACTCACGATGTGTAAGCTAATGACCATGACCCCCTATTTATAGACAATAGGTGGTTAACCTTTTGGTGTGTTTTTTTAATTTAGCCCATCATAAAATTAGAATAATACCTGGTCTCTGCACATATTTATATTTATGTCTATACTTACGAGAGAGGTCGTAATCCCAAATACTTAAACTCTAATGAATTACTTTAAGTGAGATTAATTCAATGATAACCTCATAATATAAAATTCATATATATCATTATCTACATTGAGATTAATTTCCACAGCTTTAAAACAGAAGCTTACAAATCGGAGAAGTATTTAAGGATGGCAGAATATTGAAATAAACACGATCAAAGAATAAAAGAAATCAATGTCGTAAGACAGTTCGAGTTCAAGCTTCAATAAAAAGCACACGTGCCTTCTGAGGTATTGGGTGGCAGGCAACGAGCTGAGGGCAGTCCTTGATGACGAGTTCACTGAGGGAGGAGAAGGTACATTCTTTCTCACCGTACCACCCCTTCCAGTTTTTCATGCGCTCGAAACTTAGCTTCTTCAACGAGTGAAACCCGTTGCTCCCACCGCAGAACGCGCAGTCAACATATTCCACGGCATCCATTCCTTTGATAGAAAGTTCTTCCAGGACGGGGAGCTTGCCGAGGGGCGGAAGCCGTGGGCACACCCTGCAATTGGAGAGCCTGAGCTTCACTAGCTTTGAGAAACTACCGTCGCCGATCCATTTCGGAAACGAACGCCCATCGAAACCCACTACCCAAAGCTCTTTGATACCCTTAGGCGCTTGAAGCTTTTCCAGCACAATCTCCGGCATCGAGTCTGAGCTCTTCAAAGATTGCTGGTCGCCCCACTGCAGCTCTAATCTAGTAATGTGACTCTTCATGTGCAAATTTGCTTCACTCGCTTCCTTGGAAATGTTTTGGAGATTTAGCAGACGAAGATCTCCTTGAATGTCGTTCATTTCGCCCAGTTCCTGAATTTGTGCACGAGTAAATCTGCTCGAAAGAACGAAAATGGACAATGTCAGTAGTTTCAACTTGCCGACGCCCTTCGGCATGGAGCTCAGCGAACACGGAGCTTCCTCCTGAAAATCCTCATCGTGGTAGAGATCGATGTGGCGGAGTTTCGGCAGGGACACGATGGTCCTTGGAAGCTTCTCCAGCATCTTGCAGTTTCTCAGGCCCAGGGTCTGCAGGTTATAGAGTTTGGAGACAGATTTTGGAAGCTTTTTGATCTTGGGGCTGGAGATGTTCAGATATCTCAGGTGAATCAGCTTCCCAATCGATTCGTCCAGGGATTTAATCTCCAAGCATCCCAGATCGAGCGCGCGAAGGCGTTTCAGCCGGTCCGCCATGTCCTGAGGAATCTGCAAGTTAGGAGAAGACCCAAGAAGCAACAGAGTATACAAGCCCTCGCACCCGTAGAATGATTCGATGGTCGTCTTTGACCGATCGTTCACTGAAAACGACCGTGTTCCTCCTCTTTGATGGACCTGATCGAACACGAGAGTCGCGTGCCGAGCATTTGGTGGGACCTTGAACTCCTTATTGTACGCGGCGAGACAGCTCTCATCGGCGGAGACGTAATGGGCCATCTGCGAGACGAGGCTGGGCATCACGTACCTCGTCGGGCTGCCGTCTTCCACTCGCCTGAAGAACATCCGGTCCAGTAGAGAATCGATGTATTCGCCGCCAATCTCTTCCGGCGTCCGGTTAGCCGAGTGAAGAAATCCTTGCGCCATCCACAGCCGAATCAAGAAGTCCCTTTCAAACTGGTGATCCGGGGGAAAGATCCCGCAAAATCTAATGCACTGCTTCAGACGGGCCGGCCACTGGACGTATGTCGACACAAGGGAGTTCAAGATGCTCTGCTGGAGATCGGGGATGAACGCGGGTATCTCGACCTTATGAACGTGATCCCATGCACTCGTATCAGCGGCGCGCAAGTGCCTTCCCAGTGCCCTCGTAGCTTCCGGCCAACCACGACATTTCCTCGCGATCTCCTTCCCGACGGAGACCAGATGTGCGTCCCGTGCTTCACTCTCAAAAGCGTGGTGGCTGAAGAGGGACCAGCAGTCCTCGTCGGACAGATGGGTCAAGACGATGGGTTCGCCCACGGTTCCGGTACTTCTGGCGACGGTCGGATTCCTGGTGGTCACAAGGATTCTGCTCCCCGGCCCCCCGGTGAGGAGGGCCTTCTGGAGCACGGCCCAATCCTTGTCGATC